GGATTACTAAAACTTGGACTTAGACCACTTGACTTGTATAACTTACCGATTCGATTCCGTTTTCTTGACTTTTAACTTTTTTCGGTTTCTTCTGTTTTTTCATCTCTTCTTATATTTCATACTTTTCTTTTGTTCCTTATTTTTATTTAAAAACACAAGAATACGCTAAAAAATATAAGAAACATAAGAAAACATATGTTCTATAAAGTCGATCTGTGAAAATAAAAAGATTCTCTCTACAGAAGTTATCGTTGGATAGCAGAATCGTTTCAAGCTCTTTCTGAATTTTTTTAAAGTTGCCACGTTTTGTAGCTTGCCAGAACGTGAAGTGGCAACTGCCACTGCCACCTTTTATCCCCTGCCCCACATTGTCTCTCTAACGCATTTCTTACAATTCAAAAGCTCGTGCCGACCGTAACAAGGTTGATCAGCGGAAGTCTACCGCTGCAGGCGAGTGCTAAAAACCTAAAAAAACATAACCATAAAGCAACCAAAAAATTCGAAGAAAAACAAGGAAGTCCTAAAACAACGTAAAAAATTTTGCAAAAACTAGGGAAGCTTGACCGGAAATGAGAAATAACCTGAAACCTAAGAAACATCTATTTAACTGTACTTATCTTAATCTCACTGTAAGATATTACAAAACAATTGTTCACAGAAAAATTTCACAACAACTTCAGAAACAATCACATTAAGCATCAATCGACAGAGGCGGCCTAATCACAGAGAAAATTTGATCTAAATTTGCCCCAATCGGCGCTGTCCCCAAGATCGATGCCGTATGTCCTCGTTGAATTTCAATGCTAATCCGCTGGCGAAGATATTCTGTGGCTCGTTTTTCGCCGGTTTCCTGTCGTATCATCTGTCCGAATTCCGTTATCGTGCGGGCAGCATCCGGTCCCGGCGGTCCGAGCGTTTCAAAACCAAGAGCGCGAAACACGTAGTCCTGGCCGATATCACGATATTTTTCGATCTTGCCCTGCTCGGCCTGTGCTGCTGCTGCTCCTGCTCGTGCTGGTGTCGCAATAATATGCGATATGGCCATTGTGTTGACGCAAGTAGCGTCCCATGCCAGCATTCGTCCTCTCTCCCAAGGTGTTAAGGTAACACCGTCTGGCCGCTTACTGTCTGTTGGAAAGATGCCTTGCGGTTCCAGTTCGCTTTCGAAACCAGCAGATGCGAGGCTGCGCTTCACAATGGCGTTCAGACATTTATGTGTAGGGATTCGTCCGCGGCTTTTCTTGCAGCTTAGGCCATGGTAGCCTCGAGCATCCGCCCACTCACCGCAAACACAGCGGTGTGGGGTAATGACCGGTGCCCCCAGACGCAATCCAACGGCGATCTAACATCTAACAATAAGATAAGAATAAACTAAGAAAGCTTTAGAAAGACAAAGAATCTCAAAAAAACCTAAGAAACCAAAGAAAACCTAAGAAACCTGAGAAAACCTAAGAAAACCTAAGAACCTTAAGAAACCTAAAACGGCCGAAATCTCCAGTTGCCGAAATGAGCTCTAGCCGAAGTGAGTGGTGGCCGAAATGAGCCAGGGCCGAAATGAACGTTGGCCGAAGTGAACCTTTGCGCCCGAAACGTAACGCAGCCGAAGTGATCGGACGCGGAAACTGAGTTCTTCATCCGGCAGCCAAATCCACGGACCCAACTGTGTCTCCGGCACTAGAACTTCCACGGGAAGGGTAGAGAATTTCTGGAGATCAGCGTCGTGATCACGTATCTTGCTCGTTTCGCTGGGCACGTAGAGTCGGTCTGCCGTGACGAATTCGCGTCGCGGAATGGGACAGAGCAGATCGACCAGCAGTCCGTTGACCGACATATTTACCATATTTACGACGAAAAAATGAATAGCTGTAGCAAGTAGATTGATTAGTCTGTTAGTATACTGATTGTTAAACTGGGACATGAAGGGCACCAGTGGTCAAGCTGGGATTCAAAGGAACGTAAAATTTATAACCTATTATCGGATAGTTTACAGCTTGAAAAAGCGCGGAATGACAAAAAAAAAACAGGAAGGGAGAACAACTTCTAAATTAGAAGTCCTTCTAAGTTCTACAACTTTTAAGTTCTAACGAATTACAGACTCCCTAACGCAGTGGCTGCACGAAATGTGGGTAATTGTTTGGTTACTGATCTTGAAATTAAGAAACATATCGGAAACTAATGAAAAAATGTTCCGCTTTTGCGAGAGAAATTTCGCAATTCAGGTTTAAAGCCATCTCTGCAGTCAGTTAAAGAAACTGGCAAATTTCCCAGTAGATATTACCGCCAACCGTCAACGGTATATACAATTTTATGGGCATAATGGTATTACACCGGGAAAGCTATGACGTCATCGATGACGTCATTCGACTCAGAAATTTTTTATGAGTCGAATAGTGATGACCTTTTGGGAGGAAAAGGTCATCCAACGGTCGTCCCGTAACCTGCTTATATATAGTGTTTTACCAATAGTTTTAAGGTTTTCTTAGGTTTTTTATGGTTTCTTTTCTTAGGATAGGTTCTTGGGTTTCTTTGGGTTCCTAGGTTTCTTAGATTAGTTGTAGGTGATATAAATTAGGGGAAGTGATCAAGATATACGAAAAGTGCTGAAATCCACAAAAGCAATTGTTAAGCAGCTTATCAAGGTATTGTCTGCTATGTCCTCAGGATGACCTTTTCCTCCCAAAAGGTCATCACCATTCGACTCAGAAAAAAATTCTGAGTCGAATAACGTCATCGATGACGTCATAGCTTTCCCGGTATATAATACCATTATGTCATTTTATGCTTCGTACACTACACTACAGCATTAATTTTTTCACTGGATTATGATTTGTCCATCGCATTAAATGCTCCGCGCGATCTGCGCGGAGTCTGCCACATCGAAAGTTCTTCTATACATGTCTATCGCATTAGACTGGCAGGTGATGACAACAACTGCACCGGCAGCAAAATATGTTCACTTTCTCAACCAAACCATTGCAACAAATCTGCTGTCAAATCGTCACAAAAACATGTGGCTGGCATTATTACACCAGTTTATTAAATTGTTTTTACTTTAGGTACATGCTCGTTCAGGTTTGGATCTTTGCCATAAGCAATTCTTAATCACTTAAATGAAGCCAATAAAGGAAGCGAAAATGAAATACAGTGCAATGCAGACGCGCATCGTCTCATTCTCTAAGCAGCCACGATTATTTATGGATTATGTGCAATTAAGTAATTACTGGGAGACCGTTTATTTCGTTTTATATGGTAATTTGTTATGGAAGCATATTTGCGTTAATTCACTGCTTAATTTTTATTCCAACTGCCGATTGGACTGTGTGGACAAACTGACGAAAGCAAGTATTTGTTTTGTGAAGTGTGTTGTTTTGCGTTTGTTTTGTTAAGTTGCCGTTTAACGAAGTGTCAAATGATCTCGATATGACAGCTTTCTTTAATTATTTGGCAAGGCTATAAAGCTCCACACTAGTAGTAGCTCGTTGTATTTTCATAACCGTAGAACAATATTTCGTTGCGCTGTATTGCATTATCTGACTTGCCAGATAAATTGCGCAGCTTAATAAAATTGTTGCATGGTTTCTAGTAGCACCAGAGAACAGAGAAGCACATACGTACGGCATACAGATAATCAGATAATATTTTGCCGCGGGAGGGGGAGGTTCATAATGGACAAGCCCCGCCCCGTTTAGCCCCAATAATTGTAGGCGGGCATCTGCCAGTCGATGTTGCAGCACCAAAGGAACTGGCCGCATATACAGCGTATAGTGCGAGCGTGGGCAACCGATCCAGGTGCGTCTTCGGCACGGCGCAGACGGGCGACAGCCATCGGATGATGATAGTCCTGGGAACCGGCAGAAGCGTCCATATCCGCCGTCCACTGGGCCATTGTCGGGCGGCTTATTATGGTGAGGAGGAGTAAGATTACGAAGACGAAAAGATACTGCAAAGTGCTCATAATTGAACGGTATTACAGAATATTTATTACTATTAACGGTATTTAGCGTGGCGTTTACAGTATATGGTATTAGCGGAAAGAATATTGCAGTCTGCAGACAGGATTCGGAATAATTATTCAAATTAATGTGATTAAAAATCGAAACTGATGATTAAAGGATATTTGTAACATAAATACATAATACATTCGTTCCTTTGCGACTGGTTTAGTACATGGGGACTGTGCGTTGCCATGCACCTACAGATCGAAGCCATGTTGTTTTGGGAAATCCCCATGTTTCTATTGTGTCAACTTCTGCTGTGAAATTATTACGATGTACACAACCGTACGAATGCCTTGATGGTAGGGAAGACTACGTTTGTCATGGAAAGTGTGAACCTGCTCTGCAGAAGCCTTGATAAAATATACGTATGTGCTACAGATTGGCATGGTTTTTTATGTAACATTTTATGCACTGAACACTTTAACAGGAAAAGAGAAGTATACAAGTACTTAATTGAGTTCAACTACTGTACTGACACGATATTAATCGTAAGGGTCAGTAAAGTCCCCTGGACCGCCCGCACTAGGCGTCGGTTTCGTTGATGTCAAAGGAACCGACGATTAGCGCGGGCGGTCCATGGGATTTTGCTGAACCTCAATATCGTGTCAGTACAGTACGTATACAGTAAAGTTATTATATATACAAAGCTAACTGAGCCGTTTCTTCGGCCAACATCTCCTCCTACACCGTTCGACACTGATTTTTACACGATAGCTCAAAAAAATCCTAAAATCATGTAGTTTCCGGCAACGACTTTCGTTTTTCATTATTTTTATCCTACGATTTACGAAACGCATTCCAAACTAATTTTGCTGATAGGCGGATTTTAAGACGCAAAATACCAATTGGCGGAAATAGATCACATATATTTAACAAATTCGCTGACTAATATAAGTTCCAATGCACGACATAAGTCTTGCATTATTATGCTGTATATGCAATACAAAAAATTATTTATTTATTTACATACATATGCACATACATACACACATAGTATATAAAGTAAGACACATATTTAGTATTCAGTGCCACATGTTTGTCAATTCGGTAGGTTTATTTTACGCCGATGCAAAATTCGAACGCGACAGATGAAATTTTATTATTATTTTTAAACAGTGCGGTTAATGGTACATTGGCATTGATTTTTGAATCCCTGCCATTCCCTGTATTCGTGTCTTTTCGAACGGTAGTCCAGCGGTCTTCTGTGTTCTCTGTTCTCGCTTTTGTCAGCTTCGCCCAAAAAGGGACAGTTACCGATCCAGCAAGTGTCAACGTTCAGCTACGAGAGCCTCCATTGATTCTCCGCTTTCTCGAGCCTGTTCCTTTAAAGGTTCATACGAACACTTCAACCAAAACTTCGTGTAAGTGACCTTAACGCACGTAAGTGGCCGTTTGCCTTTTTTCGAAATACTCGTATACTGTAACCGCAATTACGTTAAGGTTTTTGTTTAATCACTTAATCCACCATATAAAGATCGTTATTTTTACTGAAATTTAAATTTTGCATGACCATCATTATTTTTTACTGTTAACAGTAAAATTAAAAAATAACTTTAGATACTTAAATTTTTGCCGGTGTTCTGTATTCGAACAGGTGCTCTAATTTCGAGTAGGAACTACACGTAGTACATGCCATGTTGGGTTCGATTTATAAATGCCACGTCAGATATTTAGGGTTACCGCTTACCGGCATGGGTTCGATTTAAGTTTAGGGTTCCTGGAAACACTTAGGAAGCAATACAGATTCAGGGTTTTTATGCACTGCGCTTAATTTAGCCATATGTACTGCCGCAATGTCATACTTAGATGCAAGTGCATGTACTGTCTCATTTCAGGCAATGGTTACTATTTCTTAGTTATTATTGCCTATTAAACTGTAAAAAGAAAGATACATTTCAAAATTAATTGAGGGAAGTAGGCCGGTACATGTAGCCAGATCTGGATACATACACGAAAATTTCCTTCCGCGCAATTCCAAACACTTCTTACATTCATTTTGATGCATTCTGTAGCGAATTGATTTGTATACGTTGATGTAAAAATCGTTTGTGCGCGCAAACATCCGTTTAAGAAGTTCTGGGCGAAACTTACCTAACCGGATGTTTTATTCTAAAATTTTATAATCATACTAGAACAGTGCATCGTTGTAAGAACGATCTTCATAATTATGCGCATTTACCTGCAAAATGTGAAAAGATTCTGTCCATACTGAGACTTATCGTACACCTCGATGCATTTAAACTTTTTGGAATTTTGTTATCCTGATAACTGAATTTTGTTATCCTGTTGCGCGCGCAAACGGATTTTACACTTACGTATACAATTCTTGGCTGTAAATACAACAAAGCAATGTAAAAAAGTGTTTGGGAGTGCGCGAGAGCGAAAGTTTCTTTGGATGTAAACGAATTCCCTTAAGAATCCCTTAAGAAGCAGTCGAATCCCTTAAGAAGCAGTCGATTCCGCTGTCTCGTACGCATCGTGCGAAACTTATTTAAGGTCCACCATATCAAATATTAAAATATTGACAGGAACGAATATTTAAATATTTATCAGGTACTGTATTAATGTATACATTATCAAGTACTGTATTAATGATACATTACGTAAACTGCAGTGCTACACATTGTATTTCATAGTGATTTATTATATTAGTGCAAGGCCCTTAATACAAGGAAAAATGCACGGTGCCGTACATATGGCAGAAGCTTTTCGAAGTGACAATTAATTTCTTAAATTAGCCATAACAGTTAATAAACGCCGTAGGTTGGGTTAAACGCATCCCGTGGTGGCTGCCCATTACACAAAGCCTCCGTATGCGCTGCAGTCTGCACTGATTTCTTTGTTAGTATCACTGCAGTTCTTTACTCTTTTGTGTTCAATTTAAATTACTGAAATTGATTTCAATTACATTAATATAAGTTTTTACAAAATACGATGGAGAGTTGTGTGTTAGAGGATAATCCTTCTTTGTTTCGTTTGTTAAACTGTACAGCGCCTGTGTGTCGCTATGGGCTATGGATGTATTTACAGTACTCGTACTGTAGCAGTAAGTGAAGCCTGTAGCCTCTACGGTCTATCCCTGGCGAACTTGCGAGCAGATTGTGCTTACACTTACTGTTTTTATATTCGGAACCCGGAATGCCAAATCATCCAGCAACAGAACAGAAGCTCATTCAGGAACAGTACACCAAGCTATAAGAGAGGGAACTTCTGGAGTGGGGCAAAATATTTCCCGAGTAGCATAGTAAGAGTGCTCTTTTTGCGCTGTAGCCTATACTGTTGTGTCTTTACTGACCTACTGTTCCTGGATGATCTGCTGTTCTGTTGCTGGATGATTTGGCATTCCGGGTTCCGAATATAAAGACAGTAAGTTTCAGCACAATCTGCTCGCAAGTTCGCCATGGATATACCGTAGAGTCTACAGGCTTCACTTACTGCTTACAGACTAAGTTACAGTACTGTACATCGATAGTCCATGGCGACACACAAACTACTGCTCCATCGTACTTAGTTAAAATTTATTTTATGTAATTAAAATCAATTTCAATAATTTAAATTTGAACACAAAAGAGTATAGAACTGCAGTGTTACTAGCACAGAAACCATTGCAGACTGCAGCGCAACTCTGCATTGCACAATGTTAAATCTGTACGGAGGCTCTGTGTAATGGGCAGCCACCACAGGAGGCGTTTAACCCATCGTACGGCGTTTATCAAGTGGTACGGCGTTATAGCAGTAGCATTCTTAACAGTTACTTAACATATTTTTTATCAAAATTATACTTAAAGCGTCAAGATATGAAATATATACAAACACCTTTAACAATCAACCACGCACAATAAATTGGTGTTCTTTTGCCACAAATAGATAGAAATTTTCGCTATCATGCCAAAAAGGAAAAGAAAACCAATCGACCAAAGTGAAAAAAACAAGGCCACCCGCAAAACAAAATATGCTTTGGAAAAAACCAAAACGGAGAGCTCTGTAAAGCGTGTCTTGGGTCCATTAAAAAAAGTAACACAATCAGTGGAATGCGTTAAATCTACCGAGATTTCTAAATAAAGTTAAAAATTTGCTAGATCACAACAAAGTTGTGCGACCGTTGTGGCGCAATGCTTTTTAACACTGATTCGGCGTCAATGTGTTGCGGAAGAAGTAAAAAATCCCCAGGAACGGTTATTGATTTGCCAACGATACCAGAGGCCTTTCGTCATTTATATCAAACAACACCTCAGCTGTGCGAGAGAAGCCGAGCATACAACAATTTGTTTGCCTTCTCTGACATTGGCACAACAGGTGAATTTATTAAACAAACGGGGGGACCGTCAAATTTGATTCTTCATGGACGGACTTATCACCGAATGCTAAACGGTAATATAAAACCAGGTTTTTTTAACGAAAAAATACCAAACGCATTAATAATGCCTTCGATCAGGATCGGATGCAACTGGACCATTGCGGTGGTTCGTAAGCGACGCTACAGTACCAAAATCTATGGGAGCTGATCAAAAACTTGACCCAAATATCATAGAAAGTCTTCGGTCCATTTTTGAGGAACATAATTACTTTTGGAAAAGATTTAGGTGCATGTCAGAAAATCCGTCTCAAGAAATTCGAATGGAGCTAACGGTTTCTGCTACTCGAGAAGTAGCAGCACTCATCTGCGATGACACAAGTGGTGATTTCCAACAAAGAGCAGTTGTGTGTTGGAAAAAAACCGAAAATCAGCCGACGTTTATCCAAACGTCTAATGCAATGTATTTCAAATTACAGTATGTATTACTTTATCCGTGCGGTACGCTGGGGTGGGATCTAGCTTTAAAGATGACGACAAAGCTTACTTTATTACAATACTGCCGGCAGATGATAATGCGACATGAGCCACTTCATTTCTTTGGACCATTGATGAACGAATATTTAGTAGATGGTTTTAGCGTAATCGAAGAACCACGCTTAGAATTTCATCGGGCATCACAAAAGATTTGTCAAAAGCAGGAATTGCGTGAATCTGTGGCTGACGGCGACGATGTTGGGCGTACATTTCTTCCATCTAGCCACCTCCATTCTAAGCGAAACATGCAAGACAATACTGCAGATGCTTTAGCCATCGTCGCAAAATACGGAAAACCAACTTACTTTATAACCGTAACGTGTAACCCAAAATGGCCTGAAATAACATCCCAACTGAAGCCTTTCCAAGATGCCTCAGATAGACCAGACATCGTTGCAAGGGTTTTTAAGGCAAAGCTGCAAGAAATCTTTGCCGACCTTCCACGTGCTCTCGGGGGTGGTAAAGTTGTTTATCGGATACACGTAATTGAATTTCAGAAACGCGGTCTTCCCCATGCGCATATTGCCATTAAAATGGCAAGAGAACCTCGCACAGCTGACGAAATCAACAAAGTTATTTCGGCTGAATTTCCAAAAGATGACCCTGAACTTTGTGAAACTGTAAAACGGCATATGGTTCATCGTCATGTCGAAGAACGCTGTTACCGTCAAAAAGGTCATCTTAATGTCCCCGACGCCAATGGAGTGGTCAAATGCAAAACCTGTGTTGCGTTTTACCCAAAACCAATTAATAATGTCACCTTTATTGACGAAGCAGGTTTCCCGCATTACCAGCGCAGAACCGAAGACGATTGTTATGTGGTGCCCTATAATTCACATTTGCTGGTGAAGTACGATTGCCACATAAACGTCGAAATTTCCCATTCAGTCAGAATAATTACCTACCTTTATAAGTATTTTTATAAAGGTCCAGATTATGCAAATGTCCGGCTATCCAAGGGTGACGAAATTACAGAATACTTGAATGCGAGATACATTTCGGCAGCTGAAGCAGCCTGGCGTATTAACGAATACGATACTACAAAACGGCTACCTTCCGTTGAACAGTATCCTGTTCATCTTCCAAACAGGAACTACGTGGTGTACAGTCCCAACAAAAAAGTGGAAAAGATCAACCAGCTGTCAGCCTTAGATAAATATTTTCAAAGACCTGAAAATGAAATCTTTGATGCTTTAACATATATGGATTTTTATTCAGAATATGTTGTCAATACAAAGAAGCCAAAGTCTGTTGAGAACGTTAATGAGTGTCAAATGTCAGACGGAAAAACCTACTTTATTTACTGTCGCAAGACCGTCCATGTGCCGCGACTGGCTTTAATTCGCCCACAAGCTGGCGATGTATGGTACTTGCGCCTATTGCTAAAGCACGTACCATCAAGATCTTATGAACAGCTTAGAACAGTGAATGGTGAAGTATGCGAATCGTTTGCGGATGCTGCAACTAAACTGGGCCTTTTCAATGATTCAACTGAAAGCAAATTGTGCATGGAAGAAGCGATTGCACAATTTTGCAGCCCAGCGCAGCTTCGTACACTGTTTTTTCTCCTGGTGACAGAAGGCGCTCCCGGACCATCGTTATATGAAACCTTCAAAAGTCATATGGCAGAAGACTACCGATTGAATCAGAAATTTTCGGAATGGGAATCTGAAAAAAAGTTATTGTCTGATCTGTTTGCAAAATTTGATTCCGCCGGTAAAAACATGCACGATTTTGGCCTAGCGGAACCTTACAGTGAGAAAAACATGGTTGAACGAGAAATAGCAAGATATAATCCAGCAAAGAATGAACTCGAACACGAGCATTTGTTATCGATGTTGAATAACGATCAACGCGAGGTTTATGATTATGTAGTTAAAATGCTGGAGACAAACAGCGGCGGTCTTCTATACATTAACGGCGCCGCTGGTAAGTACTGTGCTATCAACTACGAAAGTCAGAAAATAAAGCTACTGAAATGTTTTAGGAACGGGAAAAACTTTCTTGGTCAACTGCATAGCAAACTTAGTACGTACACAGGGCAAAATTGCTTTGTGTTGTGCCAGCACAGCTGTTGCAGCATCAAATTACGGAGGCGGCCGAACGGCTCACTCGATGTTTCAAATTCCGGTTGAAAACCACGGAACAGAGCAAAAACTGGAGTACAACGTGCCTATAAAATCACAGAGAGCAGATTTATTGCGTGCTGCTTCGGTCATTTTTTGGGATGAGTTCGTTATGAGTCATAAAAAAAATTTTCATGCAGTCGATGAAATGCTTCAAAAAGTTAGACGCTCTGCTGAAGTGTGTGGAGGAATTCTTTTTATCGGAATTGGTGATTTCCGACAAATCCCTCCTGTTATCCAGTATGGATCAAGAACTCAGATCGTTGAAGCTAGCATTAAGAGCTCCAAATTGTGGAAACTTTTCAAAACGTTCTCGCTTAAAATATCAGTTCGACAGCAAGCGGACCCGGAATATGCAAAGTATATTGCGCACTGACATTTGTTGTACGAACATTTGTTAAAAAAATACGTTCTTAGATTGCTTGAGAAAGTAGGCGACGGAACATTGGAAGAAGATAAAGAAAACTACGTTATTCTTCCTGATTACCTTAATTACACGACTTCAGTTGAAGAAGCAAAAGCCTTCGTTTACCCAAACTTGAAGGAACAAAACCGGGAAATTCTTGACTCAGCGATATTGTCTTTGCGAAATTACCAAGTTGATGAACTGAACGCTGACATTTACAAAGACCTGGCCGGTAAACCGGGAACGCTATACAGCTTTGACGAGCTTAATTCCGAGGGATCCTCTGGTTGGTTAAAAAACGTTTTGTGTTTAACTTAGGCAAATGTAAACTTTTTGCAGGGTATTTTGATGAAGAGTTTAATGAAGATTTTTTGCACTCACTAAACGAAAACAACGTTCCACCCCACGAGCTGAAAGTCAAAGAAGGCATAAGGAATGTTATCTCCTTCGCAATCTTTCCCCGGAAGACGGGCTTCTGAATAATGCCAAAGTTATTATCCTTAGTTTCACAAGAAACGTTATAACAGCGAAAGTGGTATCAACCGGCAAAACAGTCTACATTCCAAGAATACAGTTTACGTTGAAAATACAGAAAAAAAACTTTGAGATGAAGCGACGTCAGTTTCCAGTTAGAGCTTGCTATGCTCGGACTTTTAACAAAGCGCAAGGAGCTACGCTCTCAAAATGTGTACTAGATCTACGAGATGTTGCCTTTGCACACGGGCAGCTCTATGTTGGTTTGAGTCGTGTCAGACAACGTGATGATATTTTGATATTGTTGTCCGAAGTGCAAGTGCATTCGCTGTTTCCACTACGCACTAGAAATGTGGTTTATAAAGAATTATTAATATAGAAAGAAAGTACGCAATTCAATTGCGTAGAACTTAGTTGTGAATAATATCCCGAATATTCTTAGGATATATGTAATTTTATGAAGAGCATACTGTTACCAAATAGCGCCGTAGTGTTAAAAAAATCCAATAAATAACTTATAATTCGTGTGATATTCGTATTTATTAAATACATTAACCACGTTAGTACATACAGGAATGGACCTCACCTATGGAGTATTCGGCTCTGCTGTAACGCCAAAAGACGCAATTGTTGTGCAAGTTACTGTGAGTTTACAACGTGCATTACAAATTTGCATATACTATACAATGGCATGTCTCAAACAGGAATTCCGGGAACCAAAATCTCTAGTTCTTTGGGACGGCGTTAACGAGCAATCCGCTCAGTACACGCCAGGAACGGGAAAACCAATACCAGCTGCTGGAAGTATTATCAAGATCACTTCAAATGGATTCAAACGGTTAAAGTATGGACGAAAATTGTACCAAAAATGTTTTGCAAAACAGTAAGGCGCTTATGCAATACAGTATTTTAAGCGAGTCTTTCGATTCTCAGACAAAAATGGAATATCGCAAAATTTGAAACTGTGAGGGATGGTGAAAAGGAAAAGATCGAGAAAATTTTGGCGCCGACGCCAACTACTTCCAAAACGGCACCCGTTGAAATTCCTTCCCCCGTGCCATCATTATCAGAACTTCCCGAAGCCAGAAAAATAATTCCGTAAATGATTAATAAATTATTTTGTAAAAATATACAATTAAACAGAAAACTTCCTATTTAGACTGTTCCGCGCAATGGTCCAGAGTGTTGGCAATGTTCAACCAACAAATAACGAACCCGACAAAAAAATCGCGCGTCTAGTTTTGGCCGATGCAACTGGAAGTATCAATATGGCCTTTTTCGACAAACAAATCGCGCAACATAAATTTGTCGAGACATTTCGACCAGGAATGGTAATCTCATCCTGTTAAACACAATACAGACTGATAGCATAGCGAATGCTTTTTAAGGCACTAGAAATCCGCAATGGCACTACCAATGAGCCAACGGAAAAAGATTATCGCTACACGGCTACTCTGCGAACCAATTTTTGGGTGACACAGTCCGTACTGATCGACGTCTTAGACAACTGGGAACCGATTCTGCCAGAGTGTGTCAAAATTAAGCAGATCATGAAGTTGAAAAAAGAGTGTGACATAAGTACGATTTTACACGTCAATTATTATTTAATTTATTGTCAAATAATTACGATGCCGTTCGTCAGACATTCTGGGATATATCGAAGCAGTAGAGAAGTTCGATGGATCACAACGAACACTGAAGCTGAGAGACAATTCTTCTGACGATCAACTCACCGTTGTTATTCCCAAGGAATTTGTAATAACAATTCTAGCAAAGCCATTTGTTTGATACGTACAGTTCACTTTAGTATTATCATTTTAGTCGCATCAAATCCAACCAAACGAATACGAATCTAAATTCATCTTCTTCGGAAACCTGCATCATGCTGACGGAATTGTCAAAATGATACCACAAAAGACTGTATACTGGCTGACACGCAATAGCATGGCAAAAGCAATCTTCGAAAATTTTTTGAAAGAAGAACTGCTTGAACCGAATTCAATGAGCTTCCTCGACGAAACTATGAACGACATCGAAAGCGATACGGTCTCTCTGAACAAGCGCAAATCAAAAGATTCTCACCAGTCTGTGGATTCCAAATTACCTAAAACGCATTAATAATACTTCAGTGGCTGTACAATATTCCGTAAAAAGATGCAGATGCCTGTTTATCCGAAATTATAACAATACGAGTATCTAATACCAACCACCATGTACTACTCTCTTAAACTCATTTATGCAAGCCTGGTTTAAAATATTGTTTAATAAATTAGTACATAGAAAAAAATTTCCACTTGAATTTAAAATGTTAGAACGCTGCACATATATCATGTCATACCATAGACACACAAAACTGAATCAACTACGGTGCACAATAGTTTCGAATTTTCAACACTTCGTTGCTTGCATTTAGCAGCCCATAAGGAAAGCTATATTAGCAATTCGTAAGAATAACTAAACCATGGAAGCAACCAATGAAGAAAACATCGAATACTATTACTGCATTTTCAAAATTCAGTGTTTTCATTTTTGTTCCTCGAGCTATAGCAGGTTATGTCAAGCAATCCGTAAGGAAAACAGTATTAGCTTTCCGTAAGGAAACTAAACTACACAGCCTGCTTATTCGCCGCGAAGTAACAAAATATTTCACTGAGTTTTCTTTAAGCATAAGCAGGTTACTATCAGCAGTCCGTAAGGATCGCTACATTAGCAATCCGTAAGGAAAACTAATCTAAAAAACCTGCTTATTCACCGCAAAATAACAAAATATTTCACTTAAAAGTAAATGACAGCACAATAATAATTAACAATAATAATACCACAACAATAATAATACCAGAACAATAATAACAATAATAACACTTTCGGTAAAACGTAGGCTATTTTCAGCAATCCGTAAGGAGCGCTGCATTAGTTTTCCGTAAGGAAACTAATCTAAATAGCCTACTCAGCACCGAAAAGATACAACTAAAACTAGAATATGTTAAATACATAAAATATGTAATTATGTACAGTAGTACTCTGCACTTTATAGTTAGAGATAATTATATGAGATATAGAGGTAATTTAACTGCTGAGACCGAACTTCCTGTACCTGCTACCGTCAGCATGCTGGAGTTTTACGTTGTGATTAAACACGGAGCTTAAGTACCGTGCCTGATTTAACAGTATGTTTTACCATAACGTTACACACCACGCGGGTGACGGCGTCAAATACAGAGAGTGCTGGTCTGTGCAGTTAGATTTTCACAGTATACCAAAATTATGTTCAATAAAAATGCAAATTTTATGTAAAATGCACTTTATAACGTTCACCTCATCCGTGCATACCACAGTTGAACACAGAATAATTTACAACTACATAATATTTTCTGTTGCAGGTATCAAAGCAGAGCAAACATGGATCCAATGGAAATTCATTTTTTGGTACTGATTCGATAAAAAATTGTATTTTATGCAAGTAAAACCGACTTTCGAGTTAAGTGTATAATTTTGTAAACCCTACCCCAGATGTTGTAAACCCTACCCCAGACCCCCCAATGCACAGTTGTAGGTTAATACCATACACAGTTGGCTGTTACGTTGCTTACGGAATTAAGTACGAAGAACTTACAATAACTAAAACGACTGATAACTGTCGGTCGAGTAGAAGATCACTGCCGCATACAGAAAGCACTCCTGTGCTAATGCTTACCATAGTTCTACAGACTTTGTTATCCCTTTTAATAAATATTCTAAAATTAAACACACAATCGTCTAAAGGGCTGGCCAGAAATTTACTATCAAAACCCCTGCTTACGAATTTCTTATTTATTGTCCCGTGCCCAATCACCATAATTACATGTATTGGCCAAACAGCATAACTTTACATTATAAAACACTAGAGACCACACCTCAACCCGAAACACCAACGTACGGTACATTTGCGATTTTTGCTAAACAACAGCACTTTCAAATTTATAGTAAGGTAATTCCAGACATCCTACCTGACCAACTTTTAAAAACAATTTAAGATAAACTCCGTCTAATGTATTTCGAGTTTAATTTTTCTGTGCGTTTTTTAAATATTTTTGTAACATTGCTCTTACCAATGAAACAAAGGCTATGGCAATCCAGTATTGGAAGAACCCCGTGCGAAATTGTAATTCAAACCGCCATTTCGATAAGCCACCCGGTACACTGCTAACTTACTAACCACACAAACGTGGTAATAATTACTGGAATTAGTACTTTACTTGAATGGTTAACAGCATCATTCGCCGCTAAACGTATGCAAACACCTAAACACCTTTCTTCTAACACGATTTTATAAACTGAATAATTTAAAATTATAATTTAAATTTCTTTAAAATATTTATCTATATTTTATAATTAAAATAAATTTATTAAAATATCAAAATTTAATATTTTAAAGGTCAATGAATTACACATTAGTACTGTTCTTTACAGAGAGAAAACCGCAAATATCCGAAAGAACATTTCGAAGTTCACCGTAGAGATTACGCAAGTGAGAGCGGAAACCTTTTATGTTGTGGACCACAAGATGCAACCGTTCAACTGTTTACTGACTCACTAGGAAGAGTTTTCCTAAGCAAACCTTATGATTTTTACGTCAACAACCGAGTATACATGTCGAAATCCAAAATTATCGAGGGTCGTTCAGTTTTATGCTGTACCAGAGCGGGTGGGACAATATGTGATGTACTGGTTGATAGCCATCGCTTCGGGAAAACAAATATTCCAAACTGTACACGACTAGTTCGTGACTGTGTAGTCTTATGGGCCGGAACGAACAGTATATTGAATTGGTCTAACCAGTACCGTTATCGGCAAAAATTATACGCGGATGGAGAACTTTGGGGCGACAAGATACAGTCATGGTATACTGCATATAACGGCTGGATTCGATACAACTACGAGAACACCAAATCGGTAGTACTGGTTGGAACATACAAACAGCGCACAGAAGCTATCAAAGAAAAGCAGGAGTATATCGAACTCCAAGATTTTCTAGTGGAGTCATTCAACGGAATGCTAAAGGACATCGCTAAAAACACCACCATCATGCCAGTCGAATATTGCGAGATGGCTGATTACTTTCCACCTGAAGAAGCGATGACGAATGATGGCTTGCATCTCGATTATTATAATCCTATGATACCTCGTACAAACTGGTTAGATGAATTCAATAATATTTATAACCAAAATCCTTGGAAAGCAGTCAACCGAGTTCGAAGTGCAATTAAGACCTGCTTGAAAAAAATTTAAATGTCACCAAAACTTGATAAAAAAAATGTTTATGAATCATTTTATATATTTTTAGAAATTACTTTGTGCGCATACAGCAGCATAATGAATAAAGGGAAGGACGTAATGCACGGCAATATATTCAAATTACCAAAACGTAAACCTAGAAACTGCGTGATAAAAAAAATTAACCAAAATTGATGTCACAACTTACCTGACCCTACTCGTAAGAGGAATGTCTGAAAAGGTTGTGACAAAGTAATGTAGTTCTAAAACATTAATTCAACGCAAAGTAAATATAGAAAACAAAAATAAAAAGGCAAGGCAAAATATTTAATAATATAGAAAACATATTGCTAACATTATTAATATTACATTATTAATATTAATATAATAACCATAATAATATTAATATAATAACCAATAACCATATTAATATATATTAATATAATAATATAATAACCATTTTAAATTTAAAATAAAAATTAATTTAAATTAAATAAACTTATTTTTTCATTTAAATTTAAATTTCATTTCCTTTTCTTCAGCAAATCAGACAGTGCACAATTTTTTAAGCTATATTTATATTTTTAATAAAATAAAACCATTACAATTCAAATTTTTTGCAGAAAAAAATAATTATTATTCGTTTTGTAATACGAAAATTTTGAAAATTTATGACCCTTCATGGCTGGCGGCCTCCACGTGGCAAGGGTTGGGTATGTATGGCACACAGTCATACATAGCAAACGGCCAGTTACAACAAATTTTTAGAAAATTCAACTATTTATTAGCAATATTTATTAATAATATAATGTTTAATAATCCTCCACCATTCACCATTAATAAATACATAAATTTAAAATTAACTAAATCACCAGTACTTGCACTCAACGCACATGCAGAAATCCCATGCCCACAGCCAACACCCGTTTCCAAACTCGGTGTAAGCACCTCAAACCCGGGCTCAAAAGGTCACCTGTGCATAAAGCCAACACCTGTGTTTACACGGGCGCGCGTAGCCATACTGTTATACTAAATATGATATTTCATTTATAATATGTTGAAGGGTACCGATACTAATAATAATAAATAACCGATAATACCGACACTAATTCCGATTTCCCTGCTTCAAAATATTTTAGAATCCTATAATAAGTACATATTGAGTCAACTACAATATTTATGACGGTGTTATTTAAAGGTTACTTATTTAAATTTTTCATTTTTACTCGTTCACAACTGAAGTACTGATGGCCTGTTTTAATATCAATACATACTGTATACACTGTAATATTTATGGCTACCTCTTGATCGGTTCAGCTAATACAAGTCTTACCTTAAAAAACTACCATTCTAAATAATAATTTACTATTAATACTTACCACAACTATTTCAGTTAATCATATTCTATCACGAATTTTACAGTTCGTGTAATGTCACATTCATCTGTCGATTATGCTGTTAAATCATATATTTCACTTTGCAAACAGATTTCGGAAATAACTTCTTCTGTGAAGCAGTTATATTTATTATATTGCTACACTTCCAATTATATTGATTAGATTATATTTACAATAGCATATCAACGTAATTTAGATACACAACATACTCCGTATTGCGTAACATGAGATCACTATACTGAGTGCTCTCTTGCTATACGCGATGCGAAGTGGTTGTAAAAAAACCAAAAAACATATTAATATAATAAGAACAGCAACACTGACAATCTGACATAAAAATTAACTAACTTTGCACATTACTTTAGATGTCGTTAAATTCTTCAGCACTGGGTACATAATGACGACGAAAAACAAACCGCATCTCCTTACCAGTAAACTTTCGTTCTTAAATTCATTTTCAAACTGCTAAAACAATTATTTTCTGCAATTCTAAAAATTCTCAACCGAGGCCGTAGGCCGAGGTTGAGCTTGTAAAGTACAAGGCAGCCTCACGTATACCCGCTCGGCACTTAAAAGGGGCCACTACCGTACATGACTGCGTAATAATTATCATAATATTACTAAATACTGGGTAACACCATAATATTACTAAATACTAATATTACTAAACACATTTTAAGAATATTATGGTACAGATAAGTAATACAAGTATCGGTCGCGCTAGCGCGCGACCAGTTGTGTTCGAGGTAAGGAAGAACGAAAGAAATACAAAATATACTTCATAGTGACATCGTACAGCAATAAAAAAGATTTTGAAAAATATTTCAAATATATAACCCCAGCGAGGTCATTAAGCGAAGTGGATGTGCGAACCGACTAAAAGCTTTTAGTCGGTTCGCACATCGCACATCCACTGTACATATTCAGCATGACTCCTTTAATCGTTAAGCTGCTGAACTACGAAAATTACTAAAAATTAAAGGATTGAAAGGCTAATTGCAACTAACACGATTAAAGGAGTCATGCTGAATATGTACAGTGCTACATGTACAGATGTACTAACAGACATACTACGAAAGATGGAGAAAAAGCAAGGACTAACAAGCTTTAAAGACTGATAAGCGCGATACATCTAAGTTGGAAACGGTACGCAGTGGAAAACGTCTAGACTGACATCGTACTACGAACAATCGACAAAAATTAAAGACCCTAAATCCGCTGAATCTGGTATAGTATGAAACATCCGATTAAGACTCTACAACACGGCCGCGATTGATATGGATACACTGTACTACGATAGTTAACAAAAATACCGCTACTGCTTCTGGCTTCTGGTGAACTCGGTTTCATGCTGGACCCTGAAGACTCATTTAGATTCAGAGAAATTTGAACGCGGAGTGACAGGTGCGGCAAGGTGTCGCGGCAATCCCGGTCCATGCAAGAATTTTCACCGTCTTCCCTTGCCCTCTCAGAATGTGAAGCAAACATTGGTACACGAAAGTTTCTCAGGTTCCACCGGGGTCATCTAGAAACCATTGTTGTGGGCCAGATGCACTTTTTGCCGCATGCAGAACTTTGCGAACGAATTCTTTTTGCTGTTGGTTAAGTGTACGCTTCAGTCTTTCGCCGTCTGCAGTCTCTTTCTCCCTTTGGTATTCATCACCAATACTGTCAACAGGACGTGCTGGTTTTGGTAATCCTATCTGTTCGCAGGTTAGAATCGGGACACACTCAACGTCCCATAGAGCCCTATTTTTGCTTTTCTCTTTCGAGTAAATCTGCCGGGAGTCTTCCATCAATTGCTCTTGATGCGATTCGAAAAGCCCGTTAGGATCGGCGGGTATGCGGAATACACAAAGGTACGCGAACATGTCCCTTAACGATTTCGGCATACTGGACAGACTCGCTTCGGTTAAGCATGCACTCCGTTCGGCATCGTCATCTAAAAGTCGGAGTGCTTTTGCAGCTTCTTGATAGGTGTCATACGGTACTCCTACGGATGTTGCTCCAAAAATTGTATTAAATTAATTGAATATCTTCCCAAGAAAAATGATAACTGTAACAAAATCTTTGTAGTAGAGGCTAAGGGAAGTGACCCGGTACATGGTACCGGTCATTTTTTGTACATACTAAAAGAAACTAACAGGATAACGATTTAGCATTGGGCAGGACCTAGCACAGCAAAGCAAACGCCGCTTTGTTGGGCCACCCATTAATGATACGCGTTATAATGTATACCAGAAAGTGTTTTGACTTCATCTACGTTCTTCTTATAAAAATTTTCGTTTTCCCATTCCCACTCCCATTATGAAATACCATTCCCATCTATTAGGGTCTTTCCCATTACCAATACCATTCCCAATACAAATTCCCAATACCAACTCCCAATTCCCATTCCCAGCGTTTATTAGTACCCATACTGAAATCAATTGTATACAACTTCAGCAGAACGCTAGGAAAACAATAAGCAAGCCAACAGGCGTATTCAGACACAGATACTCGTGAAGATATTCAACTGCATAAAAATAAACCATTGCATAAGCACATGTTTAACGGTGATATAAAGTATAAACAATTGCATAAGCACATGTTTAACGGTAAATGGAAGTTGTGCAGCTAAATAAATACATCACTGCACTTGGCATAATATTTGCATTGTAAAAATTAGATCCAAAATACAATAATTTAGTCATCGTACATTAAGTTTGTTAATATAAGGAGCAACATATCATTTTATATCGTATTACATCGGTTGACGGGCATGGCTGCCACACGTACTGTCACCAAAAATCCACCTAAAGGTGCACAAATATTCAGGATAAAAATTGAGTTTAAAATTTGTATGATTTCTAGGCTGACGTCATATAAATGGGCGGTGCTATCACCCTGCCACCGAAAATATAGCACAGAAAAAAATGAAAATTATGTACGTATATTATATGCATAATCGACCGGCCGAGCGTAGCGAAGGTCCTCTATATTCAGAAGTAATACCTTCGTTGATTTCTGTCCGTTACGAAAGTTGTTACGAAAGATTGTTACGAAAGCCATTTCCAAAGAGTAATTGGAAGTGCTTATGTTGCAAAATAATATAAAATTTTATTATTCTATATATACATGTGGCGAAGTACTCTGACAGATCAAATAATTAATTTTATAATCTTAAAGACATGCTGTATTCAAGGGAAATGCTGCGCTCCGGTCTGCCAAATGCACGCCAACGTGCATTTTTCCTAGTATATTTAAATGTGTATATGCTTATCGCTTGAAATACAAATAAAATAATATGTATATGAAAATATTTAGTTTTCTGAAAATCAGATTACTTAACTAGCAAAATAAAAGCAAATAAAATAAACTCCATTAACCAATGAATAAAATAAAATCCACTGACAACGAAAACTGTTGCCCCGAGCCATGAGCTCTTTCACGCCAGCTTGCTGAGGCTAGTAAAATGGCTAGTCATGATTAACTGCGCATTTCTGAGTTCTGCCTGTGCGGCAGGCAAACTGCAAAGCCAGGAACCGGCGCGCGTCCCATTATATGTGGAGAAACCCCGTGACCTCGATGTTATCCACTACTTCTTTATCACAGCTATCGTCCGCATCTCCAGAATGCAGTACGCTGATTCGCCTGACGGACATAACCAGCGTCTGATCAATGTGCCGCCATAAATCCCGAAGGATAACGCGGAGTGTAGGTGGCGCAGCAGGTCAGTCACTGTCTGCTGTTGCATAATGTACTGGACCGGAAGAGGACACCAGCACAGGGGACGGCGACTGACAATGTACAGAATCGACCAGACGAGATCCGCACCGTTGCCTATCCAGTATAGCACTGTACTGGCCAGTAGAACCACAGTGGCGGAAATGATGACGCCCTGGATTCGGTGGGTTTTTTGCGGAGCATCCCGGCGCCTTGAGGAAGGACGATGGGATGGCGGTTTGCGCTTGAAGCGCTTCCACAAATGCCATACCGTAAGAGCGCAGAATACCGTAATGATAATGGCACACGCCAGTTGGTGAACACTCTGTCGGTAAAGGAACTGGTTATTTGTTGTGGCATTGCTGCTTCGTTTTTTCTCTTAACACTGCGGCTTAAACTGATTACATTGTATTAGTAACGATGAGCATTCATAGCAAGCAGGCGACTAATTTATGAGAACGGGAACGCAAAAGGAACGAAATATGAGAAAAGTCAAGTATTTTATGTTTAATCGTAAATAGACCTTGATATTGTTATCGAGCCATGGAAATAAAGTGCATACTATTTAAGTATTTTATCGAAGCTTGATCTGTCAGTGTATTTGTATTACGTATAGACTGTAGGATGTAATCATGTAAGTACAATAACTGCGTATAGTTTGTAGGATGTCAGTGTAATAACTGTCACCTACCTGGATCCAGGAGTGAGCGAGCGACCAGTTGGCAGCTGTTGAGGACGAAATTCCCCATTCGGGTCCATAGTGCAGCGCCAGCAGCGAAAACGTCGACGCGGCAATGAATATAGCATAGCCTACGCAGACTGCCCCGAAAATAAAGTTTCGTGAAGTTGAGCCATGCATCGCCATATAACGGGCCGGGGCAAATACCGCAACAAAACGATCAACGGCATAAACCGCCAGAGCCCTGCAAAGTACGGCACCGGTATTGAAGATAGAATTACAATTCAACAGTTTTTAACTATTTTTTCAATGATTCAAATTAAATTAACTCAATGAACTCAAATAAAATTCAAAATTTAGAAAAACTAATTTTCCAAATCTTTTTTTACAGACTTTTCCGTTCAAAGCATTGAAATTTATTATTATTGCATAACATCAGTGACTATTGCTAAGTCTGTCTTAATAGTCACTGATATAGCGTTTTTAAACAGTTATCTTATTACTGTAAATCCGCATCGATTTATGCTGCCACCATAAAAGACTACAAGTATTTTGAGACAAACCTTTTTTAAAAAAACCGTTTCGATTCGAAAACTTTCGATTTATTTTGAGTAAATTACAAATATTAACGCTATATAAATAAATTATTTCTTTATTTAAATTAGTTTTTCTTATTTGTCTGTTTTTGGAATCGTCTGAATTTTTTAGATTGCTATACATTTAAAAACCTGCAATGTGAAACGTACAAAATTTTGATTCCCGTCCTAAGAAATGGCAAACAGAATGAGAAAAAATTGAATATTTAAGTAAAAACATACAGTACTCACCATCAGTGTTTCTCTTCCAGCTATAAAGTTTTATCAGCTAGTGGCCCTCTGCAACGCTTCACGGCAACGTCCTGCCGGAAATATTGACTCCGCGTCATACCGTTTTGATCTTAGGGAAATTTTTGATCGGAAAAAAATCAAAAACTTATGAAAAATGGTAAAAAATAAAATCTAGCTATTTGGCAAAATTCCGTGTTTATATTACTGATAAAACAATCTGGCTTATTCATACCCTTGGCTCAGTAGAATTAGGAAAGCGTCAATAAATATCAGAACCATTAAATTATTCACAAGAGCATGGTCTTCATCCAGGCAGGGGAAGGCTGCTGCCAGTCTGTGTGAAGCCAGCAGGAGAAGACAACGATTCCACCTGCACAATGGAAAAAGCGTTTTTTATATTACCATCTGTAAAAATGAAAAAAAGCGTCTTTTTATATTACCATTCTTTCTTTCTGCAATCGGAAAAACAGACAAACACATATTGGGGAAATATTGGGGAAATATGGGGGAAATTTTCGTTAGCAAACACTGGGGAAATGTAAAGAACGCGACAAGATAATGGTGATCAAGCTGGCGATTAGCGTAATTTGTATTTATCTTCACGATTCTTAGGTTTTTAAGGGTATTAAATTACGTCACTTAGGATTTCTTCGGTTTTAAGGTTTCTTTGGTTTTCTTATGCTTTCTTAGTAGGCCGAATCAATTAGCACGCAGTGTGCACTGCGTAACAATCGTGCGCCGCAAAATCATGTACGGATGTAGATCCCGCACATTGGTTACATTACCATCTGTACAATGAAAAAAGCGTCTTTTTGTATTACCATATGTGCAATGAAAAAAGCGTCTTTCTGTATTACAATTTGCACAATGAAAACAATATTGTACAATAAAGCTGTAAAAAAACTGCATAATAAAGCTGTTCAGTGAAAGCGTCTTTTCATATTAACTTTGGAGGAACAATGTGCAGAATGTACTAGTAATGTAACTTACAAATACAGGAAGTGGATGGATAAATAGATTATGAGAAATATATCCTGGCTGCGAACTTTCGAACGGCGGGGACGAGCAATCCGGAGACACTGGGCAGCCTTTCGACAGAAATTACGACACAGCAGAAATATGACGCCGGCGCCGTTGCCTAACGTGCCAGCGGATAAAAATATTAGGAATGTAACGGCGGTCCGTTCGTCCATGGACTGCTTACAGAGGCGTTGGCGCCTGAGAGCGGCATGCTCGATACTGAAATTGACCAAGGGAAATCCACAGGAATCCGTGGCGTTCGGCATTTTCCGTGGAATAATTAGCTGCCAGCCAAATCAACTAGTTACCATGCAGCTCATTACCAAAAATCATACTGGCTCCTTAAAATCTCCACTCGCTGAGGAAGAAGCGCTTATAAAGGAACTGGGCTACAGCGGAAAGGCAGGACAACCACGAATTGGCAACCGTTTAGTGCCGGTGTTCGATTGCTCTTTATTGCGATACCAAAGCATTAAACTGTCTAGCTTCCGATTCCTGGCACTGATTAGCCGCATTTGTATGCGATTAATAAGCGGGGCAACGATAATAAAACAGACTCAATGTGGAAGTGCAGTGGTTTTATAGTAAGTAAATTAGTTTGCATGACATACACTAATTTGGTCGATGGATGTGAAACTAGCCTTAACAGTAAATAATCTTGCAATTAGCTTGCAGTTATTCATAATATGTGCAACTATCCTGCAGATAGCAATCCGGCGACGATACGTTCATATGGAACAATAATACAGCTTTATATAACATAATATATAATATACGGAAAACAATTAGTGCGTGACGGATGCACAGCACCGTGTAATAAATACGTAATTCTGTCCATTTTGTAAATCTTAAACTAGAAACTAAGTAAAAAGTATCTTTTCAGAGGCAAAAAAGATAGCAGGTCGCGATCAGCGGGAGACTACAGGCGTTGTCAATGATGCTTGGATAATGTCGCTGACAGATCGATGCGATTCGTCCGTGTGTAAAGCGGAAGCGCACCTAGTAACAGACAGCCTGCAAACTGAGACCACTAATTGGTTTTATTAGTAGGTAATTAACCGTAGTTGTAATTTTCCATTATGTGCGCGCAGTAGCACAACCAGGAAGTTTACTACGCAGATGATATATTCCACCCGGACGTGGGCAACAACCAAGAGACAATCTGTCTATCGGCTGTCATTGCGAAGCAGGAGCATGTGCGGTACGAGTAGTGACGCAGCCGCTATGACGTACAAGCTTGTCCTGTAATTACTGACGACTCAATACAGCGATTTACACAAATTTGCGTGTTACGCCAAACTTCACACTACGGCGCGCCACGCCACACTGTTTAAAAACGTAACTTGCATTTTGTCTTGGTACACGGCTACACGCCATATAATTTAATGAGAATAATAATAGCTGCCTGGCGGAAGGTGGCTAGAAAATGGTCGGTGCAGTAAGCGGCAATCTAACTGCGGAGAACATTTACAGATTTTGATAAACGTAGTGAAGTGGCCTGGACACTTGGCAAAGCAGAATTACCGTTGACCAATATCATGTGGTTATGTATGTTTTCTACAACATGCAGTGTGGGTCTTTTTTGAAATAAACAGGTAGAGTTAAGTCTCCAGCTCTAACTACGAAAGCTGCGCTCGAGTTGGCTAATGTCCAGTTTGGTGCTTTTCCTTGTTAAGAACTCTTTTGGTAGTTAGAGCTGGAGACTCGAGGGCAAATTTTGTTTGCATTTAGTAGTCCATCGAAGCTTCGTTGCGCGGAGTCTACTACCCGTAGTTAGAAAGAAATTTTCTTAGTTAATACAAGGAATGCACTGATATGTTGCAGCACCGAACCGCCTTCTCCCAGCATCCCGCAATGGCTACCTACAAACCTACATTATACTGCACGTTTTAGGATTTATTGCACAGTTTCACAAAATGCAATGTACGGTATTAAATTTCCGAGAAAACGTAATGAACAAACAGAACCAATTCAATATGTACCGCAGTACAAGCTTGTCCGGTAATTTCCTACGTAAAGGTACAACTAATGCGAAGTTTGCGCTTATAACGATGATGATTCGGAACCACAACGACAAGCTACAGCAACGCCCAGTTGCCGTTTGGATGGAGAGGTTAAATTCGCGAAAGTCATATGTGCAAGGTGGGATTTGCAGTTGACGGGTTGTGTCGTTCTTCGTGGGTGTTTCGGCTGCAAAAACATGCAGCTTTCTGTCTCCATTCCTTTTGCAGTTTGCTGGTTGTACTGTATACGGTGCAGTCAGCTGATCCGCGTCTATCAGCGTACTATCGCGGGAAGAAATAGTGTGAAATTCACACCATTCCGTGTAATGCAGTAAATTATCATAAGTGACGGTGATTGTACATACGGCCTCCAGAATCAACAAGTGGAAAAATTGTCGCGAATTTCCGTGTATTTCCTAGCTAAACGCAGAGAGCAAAAGAAGTGTGGGGCTTTTGAGTCCCGAACTGGCTGGACGTCACTGTCACGTCTGACATCATTTGCCCCGCGTTTGCCGCATATCCGACGGAATACTTGCGAGTAAGAAAATTATTTCGATGTGTCCTGCCGTTAGTTGTATCTAGTTTTCGTTTTCAACATCTACCGTTATTTATGCTCACATTCGGAAAAACATGATAGAGTCTGCTCTTGAAATTTTTAAAAGTTTAATGCAAAAATAAATTCAGTAACCTATTGTAAGTTGTGCTCACCTTAGCATGGAACTGGAATTATGCCCACAGCTGTAACTTCAGTGCTTAGAATGTGTCTCATATTTCGTTCACTTTAGGTATACGGTTTTATCGCAAATTCCGACATATATGTGGCTGGACAGAAGATTTTACACAGAACGCCTCATGGCTCATGCTGTTCTGTAGCCGTAGCCAGGCTCATTCTTCCCTCTCAGGCTATGTTCTGTGACTTCTGTCTGATCTTTATCCTGCAAAACGCGGGCATTGGTAGCCGGCTCTGGCACACATTGCTGCCGGTCAGTCAGCAAGCGTTTCGTTCAGCTGTTGTTTACCAAAAACTCGCTAAATGGCTTAAAAATCGATAAATTTGGAAGGATCTGGCCATCATCTGGGTGATGTATGATACATTCGGCAGGGTTAGTATATTAGAACGCCTGACCCTGCACCTTCTCACGGGTTTTTGCGCAGTCTTTGCAGCCAACGCTTGAGCCGTTTTCCTTTCATCTAGCAACGCGCAGTACTCTGTAGATCTTCTTCTCCATTTAGACTATGCACTTCGCGGAAAACGATTTGATGGCGCGCTGCTAAATTGTCTCTTTCTTGCGGCTGCACTTATTAAAGAATTACAGATATGTGACAAAAACCCATTGAAATTTGAAATCCATCGTCTGGATTCCCTGAAATAAAGTGATCAATGTAAAACCTATTTGCGGTCGTAAAAAAAGTATCTTAAATCATGAAGAATTAGTACAAGGGTGGTAACGTAACGTCCTCGCAATAACACCATCCTCGGAAAATTTGGAAAGCCGCGGGCTGTGTTTGTACAGCAGGGGAAATTGGCCAGTATCAGATAATATCCAAATTATCCAATACACTGTACGTGTTCACTGACAGTTTACACTGTGTCTTTGCATAAAAATATTCGGGCACGTTCGTTCGCACACAACGGGCAACAGTAGAATGCCTATTACCATCAATCCATAGTAAACCGACAGTAGCATGATAAAAAAGACCATCCTTGCAAGCGGCAGCATTGTGTTGCCTGGGTTTTGGTGCGTCTTTTCAATAATCAAGATTATTTAATTTTATGTATGCATAGTTACATTCCCTACAGATATATAAGGGCTTATCAGAATTCTTACCATGTTTAATGCGAGGCGGGAATGCTTGTCTTATTACAATTTCACGGGCCCGTAGTTTTTATCGTAAAGGTATATATAGCACGTGTTTAACGTAACGTGAAAGTTGCACTATGAATAATTGTTACTACACGACGTCATCCTGACTCAACCATAACGAAAAAAGTTTTACTCTTTTCCATATTAGGGTTGTTACAAAGGCCAAAGTTAATATTTTTTGATTTATATGGATTGTTTATAATTTAGATCGAGATTTGACATGCATCAGCTGATCAGCCACAAAGTGCTGCTGCGGCGCGCCGTTGTATGGAATTTGGCGTTAGTCTGTAAAATTTCACTGGCCGCAGTATTAATGCAATAGGGACTTAATGCACTGGGTTAGGGGACAAGCTTGTAATGCACTAATTACACTAAATCCTTTAGATGATTAAGAAATGCTGTGTTATAGCCATAGACCCCGACCTGTTGCCGCATACTAGCTGCGTGTTCACACCCGACGCACTCCTAAGCTGCAATAGCACAGACATCCTCATTCCCACCCGGTTTGTCTTCAGTCGCGTCCCGGCGACGACAGAGAAGTTAATCGTCGGCTTGGACGATGCAGCAGCGGAAATTTATATGCACCCGCGGACTAATCCCTGGACGGCCATCGTGCCGGCGCTGCGTTAGGTGACACTCTTTAACGTGAACAGTTGGAATGGCAAAGCGGACCCCGCAAACCTCATCAATCTTCTGTCCAGTTTAAAAAGCAATATTACGTATCTTAACCTAAAATACTCGTATGTGGGGAATTTAAGCGGCGAGGCGTTTCAAGGATTCGCCCGCCTGGAGCGGTTATTCTTGGCCTACTGCGACATTCAGTCTGTCGATGTGCGAGCACTGGTAGGATTGGCAGCGCTGCGGGAGATCGATCTTTCAGGGAATCGGATCGTCACGTTTGACTGGGCGGTTTTCGAACCAGTGTCATATGATCTTGAGGTAACTAGCCTTCAGTATATCCCGAACACACGCACTGCAATTTCCGTTATTGCGTACTCCACAACCTTTTCTTTTTTATCGTTGTACTGCAAAACGACTTGTATACTCTACATTGGTGTGATAACCGTATGCTCGTTTATCATCCAAATGCTCAATTTATGCCAATTTAATTCAGACAGAAAGTATAAAAGTGTTGATAAGGTTTAAAAAACAGGGTACCATTTGATCTTTACGAACAATAGATGCCAAAACTGCATAAATATCGAGACAGAAGTATTATTAACATAAACTAGGAAGTGTACCAGTATACGGTATCAAATTCGTGTGCATCTTTATCAGCCGCTCTTTCTCAAATTTTGCAGGAAAATACACATTGACATGAAGATCGCTTTTACAGCGCAACGAGGTTCCCACAATTTTTTTAAACACTGAAAATGATTTTTAAAATTCTCTGTGATACATTAAAATATTTGCCACGTAACGACGCAGGACAGACTGGACAGTGTATGGGAGTGCGCGAAAGCGAATGTTTCCGTTCATGTACACCATTTGGTACCACGTACTGGCACACTTCCCTTAATCTGAAATTTCTGAAAAGTAGTTGAAAAATTCACCGAGCGGAATTTAACAGATACGATTGTGGTTCAATTTTAGAGCATTATATTCAACGGAGTCATGCCGCTGAAAACACTGACCATCAGCCGTAACTTCACCTTCAATAAACCAACTACCCGCCTTTGACATCGAAGTGCAGCAACTAGAGCTTCCATCGAAAACCATCTTCGATACCATGCACAGCAACACCGCGTCGCGTATCCGACTGTGGTCCAACGCATTTTGCCCAGCGGATCCGCAGAAATCCTGTTCGTGCTGCCAGGCCAGAGACACCGTGGAATGGGCATACTGGTTAATCGAGGACGATGTGAATCAGTACGGGTGTTGCGTGAATGATACGGTGGCCAACTGCATCGGATTATCGAGTCCGTCGCCAACGAAACCAACGTCAGCACCAACTACGGCGAGTCGGCCGACAGATGCCACCAACCCGGGCGGTGCGGCGGACAGTCTGAACGCGGCTTGCAAAATTACGCTGATTTCTTTGGTGATACTGTCCGTAATTAAGTGTGGACTGTTTTAATAAGTTTCTTAATTTTCATGGAAGGCTTCAGTCCTGGCCTTATCTGGCCTTATTGGCCTTATTGTGATTTTTACTAATTTGAAATACTTCGCTTTTACTCGCGTTCCGACCGCTTACAGATTACACTTTCACGTTCCGTCCACCCGATTGCATTAGTAGGCCCTGCAGTGAGCGGCTACGTGGTTATTAACAGCTAACTGCACAGTTCAGATTGTTTTCCCCAGCACGTAAAACTTAAAAAAACGTTTCTTTGGACGCACTGAAAGCGAAATCGGCTAACAAAAAACACCTCCAGTCAAACAAACCGAACAGTTCGAAAATTAAGTGACGAGTCTTTCACATGCTGGTTAAATTTTATTTTTACGGTGATTAATTCTAGTAAATTAAAAACCAAATAAGGAATTCGTGATTATTAACTAAATCGGTGATTTTCAATTGGTGATAATTCATCGTTTTTCTATAGCAAACTTTGTGGATGGATTCGTTGATCTCTAAATTATTCTTGAAACTTTGTTTTGTGAAAAATTTTTTTGTTGTTCCTTGTTGCCTTCGATTCTGAAATAAACGTTGTTGCTGGTTAAAAATTATCTGCATAGTATTATAAATTAATTTTTATGTGGGCCCATGCAGGGAAACTGAAATGGTGGGTGGACGGAACGTGAAGGTGTAATCTGTAAGCGGTCGGAACCCGAGTAAAAGAGAAGTAGTAATAACGGCGACGACATTTTTATAACCTGCTGTCTGAACGTCACATAATGTGGTTATGGCTATCAGCAAGTAATTCCCATTTCGTGTCATCCTATAAAATCGGCCTCTTCATTTCTTCACCGTATTATACGTAGTTATACGTTCAAAAGCTTAACAGATGCACTAGAATCGCCAGGTGGTGCGTTGACGGTGTGAAAGATGTGCGACCTGAAAGTCTTTCCCACATAACGCAACAGTTTCTCCTTGAAATGACCCGTTAATTTTGGGAATTAAGGTAATTAATATTATGTATCGTTTTCAATGATCTCTGCGGATCTTTTCTTATCATTGACTTTCTTTGGATTTTTGCTACAATTACTTTTATTTCATATCTGTTTCGGCTTCTCCGGCGCTTGACAGGTGATCAAAACACAATATCGCCTACAGTTCACACAATCGTTGACATTGTCACCGTATTAAGCCATAGTCGGCTGATAAACTGATCAGCGCGTATTAGGAACGTATTCGGTTAGTTATCTGCTTATCATCTTATCACTGGCATTCTGGCAACAAGCGCAACATGTTACACTCACTGCTTAATAATGGTTAGTAATCCAGCTGTGGCGGCAGCAGTATTATCGTGTACAGTCAGGTTTCTGTTGTAAAAAATACTCGCCACCGGTTTCGAAGGTCTTTTACAGTTTGACACTTTCCAAAAGCATTGCGCTTTGGGATTTCAGTCTTGTTAGAGATGGCGAATATAAGGTTCTTATGCGTGCAAACGGCTTTAATGTGCTGGCTATCTTTTGGTACGTCTAAGTATTTTAATGTACACACTGCAGTTACTTATTTGCTGTGCCCAAACTTCTTCTGCATTATTTTTACGATATTAAGCGAGAACAACTTTTTGGCACTGATATTCTTTACTTTGTAGTGTATCTGTGCCATGGTTAAATATTTCAGTAACACGCCTGTGTTGTAGGCACCGCACAGTTGCCGCATCCTGGCTGCACCTTCACATCGGAAGCTCTGCTGAGCTGCAGTGCCCTCGATATTGTCATTCCCACCAATTTCGATGTGAACCGCATTCCGACGTCCACGCAAAAATTGGTTATCGGCGTGAATAATGAACTGGAAGAAGTGATCATGAGTGCGCGGGCGACTCCCCTGCCAGCCAGCCTTGAGGCGTTGCGCGAGGTGACACTCTACGGAGTCAACAGCTTTTCGGACGATGTTAACCAGGCCGGAGTGGCGGTCCCTTTTTTGTCCAATGTCCGCGGCAATATTGCGTATCTCAATCTGAAATACTCGTTTATGGGGAATTTGAGCGCAGAGGCTTTCCAAGGATTCTCCCGGTTGGAGCGGTTGCGCTTGGAAACCTGTCGAATTCAGACCGTGCATGTGCGAGCGCTGGCGGGGTTGGCAGCGTTGCGGGAAGTAGATCTGTCGGGCAATCAGATGGAAACGTTAGATTGGTCGGTGTTCCAACCGGTGGCAGATAATCTTGAGGTAAAAACTGAGACGGCTAATCTCGTCCTCGTAGCAGTTGTTTTACTACTCACTCTTATTTTGCGCAGTTTACATAGAACCTTTCTTGTATCGATTTATGCCATTCTGTGCAGAATTGCTTATATGCACCGGCGGGAAAACCGTTTGACAGTAACATCCTGCCGGAGAGTTAGTGAAATAAGACTGAAAATGGTTTATTTATACGAAAATCTGCCAAAAGCTCGTTAAGAAAAAAACCACTTCAACTTCCACAGTTCCACGTAATGATAAAGAAATGTCCTTTGACCCGTTTCATTCATGCATCTTGTATCATAAAATGTACTTCATTTACCTGTATTTTGGAAATCAGTAAGAATGCCAAAAGCTTCTACCCACGCCAAAACGATGTTTCCTATGGGCTCCAGTTTGGAGATAGCGCATCACGCACTCTTACGTAAGGCGTTCTCCGATATGGGGCTTTGCACCAGACTATACTCGTTTATGTTCTTTTGGCAAATTTAACTCAAATCGTTTCTTAACGAGACTTTTAATAAATCATTTCTGCGCACATATTTTGTACCGTTGGGAATTTCGATTCGGCCATAGCTGTCCACTCCAAACGCGTACGCACAAGCGGATTTTCCGCCCGACTTTTGACTGTTCAACTAACTTCCCTAACTGCGAGTCACTAAAATTACGCTATTCGGGTACAATAGTGAGTCGGCGATGTCCTCCTGGGGAAGCAACCGGGCGCCGGAAAACGCATTTACTTAATCAAGGGAGCAAACAGAAATTCGTTAGACACACGCTCTGTCTAACTCTGTACTTTTAATTAAAAGCGGTGCCCCTTTTACGGTTTACGGCGGATACCGCCGACTCACTAATGAGGAGGATTAAGGAAGGAGTAACATTTCTATTTCTATATTTTAGCACATTGCAATCCGATGGGTTACCCCTCTGAAATCACTGACACTGAGCCGCAACTTCACCTTCGCCAAACCCATCGGCCGCCTGCTCGACGACGCCGGGCTCCTCCGATTTCCCTCGACAGGCATCCTCGACACCATGAGAATAACGAATGGAACAACGAAAGGTACAACGAAGGGAACAACAAAGGGAACAACAAAGGGAACAACGAATGGAACTACGAAGGGAACAACGAAGGGAACAACGAATGGAACTACGAAGGGAACAACTACGAAAACAACGAATGGAACAACGAAGGGAACAACGAATGGAACAACGCATGGAACAACTATGAAAACAACAAAGGGAACAACGAATGGAACAACGAAGGGAACAACTATGAAAACAACGATGGGAACAACGACTGGAACAACGAATGGAACAACGACGAGGACAACGAATGGAACAACGATGGGAACAACTATGAAAACAACGATGGGAACAACGACGAGAACAACGAATGGAACAACGATGGGAACAACGAATGGAACAACAAAGGGAACAACGATGGGAACAACGACCAGAACAACGAATGGAACTACGAAGGGAACAACTATAACTACAACGAAGGGAACTACAAATGGAGCAACGAATGCAACAACAAGGGGAACGACGATGGGAACAACGACAAGAACAACGGATGGAACTACGAAGGTAACAACTATAAATACAACGAAGGGATCTACAAATGGAACAACAAGTGCAACAACAAGGGGATCGACGATGGGAACAACGAAGGGAACAACCACAAGAACGACGGATGGAACTACGAAGGAAGCAACGAATGGAACAACTAAGGGAACAACTAACGGAACAACGGGGGTGACTACTACTAAGCCGACGGATGCGACGAATCCGGGCGGTGCTGCTGCCAGCCATGAAGCTGCCTCCGGAATCGTGCTCATCTTTGTTGTGATGTCTATGAATAAGTGTGGGCTGCTGTGGTGAAATCCATCCCCGTCCAGTAATCTTCGTCAATTTCATCTGTTTTTGATTTAAATACGATGCCCTTTCAGCTTTTTATTTCTGAAACAAGTCTGCTTTCTCAGTCATTTTCATGAACTCTCGCATTTGACCATTTCTGGTGAGCATTGCCTTATTCCGGTTAACGTAATCTGTGAGGTTTGCCATAGCATTATTTGTGGTTATAAGGTTTTTGAAAGTTACAATAATTTTTTTTAGAACACAGCAACGATATACGTAATATTGAAATATAATAAAACGGGTTACCGTATTTTGCTGATTTATCGACCGTAGCGTAGCGGAGGTCCTCTATGTCCAGCGTTCATGAAAAATGTGGTGCCTGTCGGTCGCCGCCATCTAATGCACATATGAGCGGCTTTCCTACAACTTTCCTATAATTAATCAAATCCACACATGCGCGCTGGCCGCATAAACTCAAAGCGCCTGCAAACTGTGGTGTCTGTCGGTCACCGCTATCTAAAGCATACTTGTACGATCACACCACTATCAAATTCAAAATGCGCGCTGGTCGTCTGTACTCAGGCCGCGTGCAGAATGTGGTGTCCGCTGGTCACCGTAACTTTCTGTAAAGTGTCTAGAGGCGCGGTAGCCGTATACAGATACAAGTGCTGTGCTGCGTACTGACGTTTCAGAGCTATATTTCTTTGATAAGTCAAGTAAAGCATTCCTTATTCCTATCATTGCGCTTTACGCAAACGATTGTGTTGGTTCGTCGGCCGCCGCTATGGCGTCACCTTACTTGAAAACGTAAAAAGCGCAGTGCCAGTTTGTACTCGAGGCATGTGCAACCATGGGTTCTTTTTTTGGTTACCGATAAAGCGGTGTCCTTTCACCATTGCACTATTTGTTGCTAAAATAATTATGAATACTGAAAACGCTCTATGAAACTGGAATGAAAAGCCCGGAAATACGGTAACAGGCAGAGCTGGTCGGTGGGATAAGCGCAATACCGGCATGGACAAGCTGCTTTCAGGCCTGACAGTAGCGCAGTTTCGTGGAGGGCTACAGTAGTCTAACTTGTCAGTACGAGTATTTCTAAAACCATTTTCAACAATCAGTACATGTAGGAAATGTTCAAGTATTTCGTCGGGAAAATTACCGCCAGCTGCTCGAATGGTGTGCCAGTAAAAAAACAAGATCTGACGTTATTTCCTTCGTCAAAGATGAAATTTGGAAACTGCATTAATTATTGTCCAGAAACACTTAGCTATAGCCAGTGAAACCTTGCATCCCCCGGCTCAGAAGGACGTTCACCGTAACTGAGAGCGCAATAAGTTTCCTTACAGTAGCTTTTACAAAACCGTTTTCAGTATGGCCGGCAAGAATGACCGATCCACAATTTTTGCCATGTTCCGAGAACAGCGGAATATTTGTCTGTCTGGGAGACCTAACCGGTTACATAATTTTACTTCAAATAATTCATTCTACAAACGTTTTCGTTTCTAAGTAGCTCAAAAATGTTTATAAATTTACTGCTACGCTTAGGTCATGCAGTGCCAGCCAGAAGCGAGTACGCTTTCCTATTAAAGATTTGCTTGAGATACTCGTATTGATTTCATCATCGAAAAGAACAAAGTGAGAATTTTAGCCGCAAGGTGTGTGATGTGCCTTGTGTGTTTTACTGTTCCTCATTGTGATTTGTATCAAGCAAGGTCCTTCCGTTAAGATATGAACATTATTGCTGGACTTTTTTTGTATGCTTGCCCTAAGGCAGCTTACCGCGCTATGAAAACACCTGTTCGTTTTGAAACGGTACGCATTTCTTTTGGCCAAGTACATCTTGTGACCAGTGACCTTCTTGTGGCGAACATTAGTGTGTACCTGCAGGAAGCCACATTTTAATCTGGATAACATCATCCAGATATTTGGTTATGAGCGTAGGAGTTAGGAGCAGGTCATCGTTCAGAACAGAGATTCCACTCTACCGACTGTATTTGGTTGGTCACCTAGTACGGAAGTCGTAGTGCGACTTCCGTATAGCATGATAATACAAGTGTACATGCGAACAGAATTTACCAGAACTTCGACCAATGGCTTAAGGTGGTAGCACACCGCTGCAAGAGACTGACAGGGGATTTTAGAAGCAGTACAAGTTCTACAAGTACTCTGTAACACATGCGATAGCTCGTCGTAAAGAATGTTAAGTACTAACAAGGTAAATTTTTCCACGTTTGTTTGGTTGCCGCGAGATGGGCGGCTTCTTTGAAGTGCGCACAGACACGTCACTGGACGATTTGCGATTTTAAAAACCACCCCGCTATAAACAATATTGCTTAATAAATCTGTTTTCCTCTATAAAACAATATGCGTCTGGTATTTGTGCGAATAACTCAATGGAAAAATTTAGCTTGTTAGTACTAACCATTCTTTACGACACTCTATCGTATTTGTTACAGAGTACTCGTAGAACTTGTACTGCTTTTAAAATTCGCTGTTAGTCTCTTGCAGCGGTGTGCTGCCACCTTAATTTTGCAGGTATATCGTGCCTAATATAGCGATTATCTGACAGCTGTACGGTTGCAAACTTGCAACAAAGGCGCCGGTTTCTGCATGGTAGCAGGTTTACACACAGAGAACAGAAACATCTGTTCACACGACAACGAATTAGTGATAGTTGCAAGATCGTTAGTGATAGTTATTGACTGCAAGATCAGCATGTCTTAAATTTTCCTTATTTTATCATATTCTGGTGAAGGACGATTAGCTGTGGTGCCCCACCGTGCCACTCTCCACTTCTACCGTGTTAGCAATGTCTGGCGTAGTTCCCAACTGCAACGGTGTGAGAGTACTGGGAGATGACGGTCTGCTCCGCTACGGCTGTGTCGTGGATGTTGCGAAATCCGGACTCATCATCGATTTCCTGTGTCCCAACCGACGCCGTGAACTGAAGCCGTTCAACCGAATTTTCCAGGACTGTGACGAGACTGGCGGTGATATTACGGTGGCTGTCGCTTCTTGAGGGTCCTTTCCGACCGTCCCCGTAGAAGTTTTGATGCGCGAGACTCCGTGCGGTTCGTGGATGTGGTCTCCGGTTGAAGCGCGCATTCTCACGGCCGGGGCTTTCCATCCGGATTATGAGACGGCAATGGTGCAATGGTGGAAAAACGGAATTCGCTGTACAGACATTGTCCCGCCGAGTCGAATTCGCAGCAGAGTGCCAAGTACTTGCTTGCTATATTTTTAGTTCAGTTATCGAAGTAATTGAACTAAAAATAAAAATCAAGCCAGGGCTAACGAATCACCGCCTCTTTTAGATGGTTTCCCGGGACCGTCAGGCCATTCCCTGAAAGCCATTAAAAAGGGGGATTATGCAAAGTGTAGTGTGCCATTTCCGAAGAACTGCAGCTCGGCGACGGCTGGAAATTTGCCGAAATCGTTCAGTAGATATCAGTGGGTGAACGGTAGGACTGCGGGAGTGCTCCATCTGGATACTGGAACCGGACGCGTGTGGTTCATATACCGTCAGCACAGGGAAACCGACAGATTGCCGTCACTGGTAAAAATTTTCTTCAGATTGTAGGCTAAGAGGCTTTCCTTGAGCATCTCAGGATGTTCAAGTTCTTTTGCGTTTTTTTAGATTCAAGATGAGCGATTGGCCGAAGAATTATTGAAACGTCTTCCACAGATCACTGCGGAGGAATGCACATCACGGGACGGCATCCCGACAACGGATCGTCCCCTTGCACTCCCGGGGGAGTTGCTGCTGGAGGTGTTTTCCCATCTGGACACTGCCAAGCAAACCGAATATTGCGCGCCGTGTGTGCCGCGTGGAACGCCATCGTTCTGTCAGCGCCGTTGACCAGTAATATTATTCCGAAAAGCTACGGACGCGCTCGACTGGAGGGAACCTGGTTTCCTTACAAGATGTTTTTGTTGGCCGCTTCGATCTTCAAATGCCTACGTTCCACCACGAAACGGATTATCATGGCCACGCAACTGAAAGGATGCGCGATCCTGGGAGCTTGCGACTAACAGCGATTAATCACCGTGATGGAGTTGGCGGTGCAGAGCAATACAGCCGTGAAACTAACCGACATGTATCTGGTGGATGACTTTATTATTAAGACTTTGCTATGCCAGCTCTTGTATCAGTGGCATTATGGCTAATCATTTTTGCAGCATTCCTTTACGTAATCGTTTAAAAACTTCTTCTGTTTGAACCTCGTACACGTGTATATTGTCCACCAATGTTCAGATTATCGGAAGTTTTCTCGTCGCTCGATGGCATAAAATGCGTTATTAGTTTGAATCAGTCTTCTCCGGCGCCTGATGGATGATCAAAACAAATTCACCATATCACTTACACAATCGTTGACATTGTGATTGTATTAAGCCAGAGTTAGCTGATAAATTGATCAGCGCTTATTTGAAACATGCTCGGTAACTATCTACTTATCATCTTATCACTGGCAACAAGTGCAACAATGATGATAAACATTTGCTACTTAATCATTCTTACAAATTCACCTGTTGCGACGGCAATATTGCATGCGCAGTAAGCTTTCAGGAGTCACAAAAAATAGCGGCCACCTGCATTTCGAGAATCTTATACAATTTTACCCTTTCTCAAGCTTTGTGATTTCAATCTTGTGAGAGATGGCGATTAAGTTTTTATGTGTGGAAGCGGCATTGATGTGCTGGCTGTCTCTCGGTATGTACGAGTATCTTAGAGTACGAATGGCAGCAAACTGTTAGCTGTTCATAAAGTTTTTGGGTATATTTTTACGGCATTAAGCGAGAACAACTGTAAGGCATCGATATTACTTGCTTCGTAGTATCGATGTCCCAGATCTGTGCCATGGTTAAATATTTCAGTAATATGACTGCGTTGTAGGCGCTGCACAGTTGCCGCATTCTGGTTGCACCTTCACATCGGAAGGCCTGCTGAGCTGCAGTGTCGTGGATATTGTCATTCCCACCAATTTCGATGTGAACCGCATCCCGATGTCCACGCAGAAACTGGTTATCGGCGTGGATCAAGATCTGGAAGAAGTGATCATGAGTGCGCGGACCACTCCCCTGCCAGCCAGCCTGGGGGCGCTGCGCGAGGTGACACTTTACGGCGTCAACAGCTATTCCGACGACGTCAATCAGGCCGGAGTGGCGATCCCCTTTCTGTCCAACGTCCGCGGCAATTTAACGTACCTCAATCTGAAATACTCGTTTATGGGAAATTTAAGCGCAGAGGCGTTCCAAGGATTCGCCCGGCTGGAGCGGTTGAGCTTGAAGACCTGCCAAATTCAGACCGTGGATGTACGAGCGCTGAGTGGGTTGGCATCGTTGCGGGAGATCGATTTGTCGGGCAATCTGCTGGTCACGTTTGACTGGGCGGCTTTTGAACCGGTAGCAAACATTCTTGAGGTAAAACATGAGACAGAGAAAAATAGCCCGATCTGGTACTAATTTGTACACATTAGCTGAATACTTCTTGTTTCACGCACTTTAATTTCTCTAAATTTATCGATTTATGCCATTCAACTGAGGAAAAAATTGGCCCGCGCTCAAACTCTGACTCTGACTACTCAAAGTCTGACTCTGACTGTCCAAACTCTGACTCTGACTCTGACTGAATAACCTAAGAATAACCTAAAAAACCTAAAAAAACCTAAAAAACCTAAAAAACCTAAGAAACCTAAGAAACCTAAGAAACCTAAGAAACCTAAGAAACCTAAGAAACCTAAGAAACCTAAGAAACCTAAGAAACCTAAGAAACCTTCAGAGTCAGAGTCAGACTTTGAGTGGTCAGAGTCAGACTTTGAGTAGTCAGAGTCAGAGTTTGAGTGGTCAGAATCAGAGTCAGAGTCAGAGTTGGAGTCTGGGCCGAAAAAAAATTATTGGATTATCGCCCAGAAAACCGTTTGTGCGCTCATTACAAACATCCGTTACCAGAACACAGAAAAATACAAAAATGTCCTACATCAGAACTGCCTTAAAATCTATGCACGTTCTTCCGTAAAATTTCAATAAAATCGCTCTTAAAATTTTGGGGCTTTATATTTGTGTCCGCGCTCCATACGTTCTGGACTCCTAATCCGCCCATAAGCGTCCAATCGGAGATAGCCGGTACTCGTCGTTTTTACGCTAATGTATGCAGTGCCGCTCGGCACTTGTAGCAACGCCAACGCTTGGCTCCACAATGGCAGCACACTGCAAAACGTGTTTTGAAGCATTAAACAACAAAACACAGCAAACACCTTTTGGAAAAAGCAAACATTTTCGAGCATATAAACGAATGTGGGATTATATGCGTGGTACATGGTTAAAATGTCCCTATAGTCAAAATTTTTAAGTAAAGGAAAAATTTTGCCATGGACCCACATCGAAGATAAGTCACTTTGTTTTAATTATTTTAGCACATCGAAATCACCGGAATTACCTCTCTGAAAACCTTAACAAATAGCCGCACCTTCACTTTCAACAACCCGATCTCCCGCCTTCACATCGACGGATGGCTCCTGGACTTCCCATCCAAAACCGTCTTGGACACCATTTCCAGCAATGCTACGTCGCGCATCTACTTGATGTCCCCTCGATTCTGTTGGGCGGATCCACAGATATCCTGCTCGTGCTGTCAGGCCAAGGACACCGTCAACTGGGTCCACCGGCTGATGCAGGGTGCCACGCGTCCCGATATTTTCCACCTGTACTGCGGGGGGCGCTCGTGGCAAGCCAACGCCACGACAGCGGATCTGCCGGATGGCAATCAGTACGGTTGCTGTGTGAATGATACTGTGAGCAACTGTATCACGAGCCTGGTGCCCACGAAACCGACCTCCGCGACGACGGCAGCGCCGACGAGTGGAACAACGCTGAACACGACTAAGCCGACGGATGCGACTAACCCGGGCGGTGCGGCGGCCAGTCAGAGAGCCGCAAGCGGAATCGTGCTGCTTTTTAGTGTGATGTCTATGATTAAGTGTGGGTTATTCGGGCAAAATTAATTTCCGCATGATGACCTGCATCAACGCCCTGCGTTTTTAATAAATCACAACTCTTTTTAATATATATTTTGGAGCATATCTACTTTCACAATGATTTTGATTGAGTTTTAAATAAACCGCTGCGCCTTGTTACGGTGGGTGCGGTCTGAAAGGTGTGCTACAGAATTAGTTTTGGGTTTTGGAAAGTGATTATTTATTACCAAAGTAAAACCGATCGCAGTATTTTGCTGACTTAAATTCTGCTCTGGTACTGTGCAATTGACATCGCATGATAATTCGTCGCGGATCAAAATGGTACAGGTCATTCATTACTTTGGCCACCGTGCTTCAAAGTACCGAGAACCACAAGAAAAACAAAATGTTAATGAATGGCTCGATGCTGATTATTTAATTTGTCTTGCCGGCAGAATATTACAGACCTGTGCAAAATACATTTCCGCCTTGCTAGAAGTTTACACCTACTCATCCTGGTTTGTTCATCCTGGTGTTACGAACCCTGAAGTAGCTTGGATTACGGTGGATAATGACCTTTGCTAGCCTAGGATCTAAAGCGCTATGCCAGGATTACCATACAATAATTCAAATACTATATAGAATGGGCATGTACATTTTCTATGAGAACGCCTGATAATTCCAAAAACAACTACTGCGAGGCTTGTTGGTGACGGACGTACAGGACGCCGTAGGTTGGCTGATTTACATACTGAAACCTATACTAGTAACGTGCTTGGTTTCGACATCATTCAGGTAATGCGGCTGCGTTACGGTGCTATGGCACCCGGTAACCAGAAAAGAAGGCTATCGTCCAGCTAACTTAACTGATTTCCTTGATGCAGTCAGGCAATCATACGTATTACCCCGTTTCTTTCTCTTATAATTTTACAAGTAGACTGCGGCCGACAGCGTGGCCTCGTAAGTTATGCACCTCCGGTGCATACGATTGTCTGTAATACTGTAGACCGTCAGCAGGTAGCCCATTAGTCATTTTCTATTGATTTGTTCGGGAAAATATAATTTCATTCTTTAAATGATTACTCCGTGTTAATGCGTAATCGACAGATTTCTAGAAAAAACAGGACATGTTTCCGATTGAAATTCTGTGTTGATATGTTTTGGTTCCAAATATAACTGGTTGCCATTTTTATTCTGCGAACAATGTAAAATTTTTTGAATGAACACAGAATTTTGACAAAAAACAAAAAGGAATACAAATGAGAAAAATTACAGCAATTAAACAAAACAACGAAAGTTATCAAAATTAAACTACATAGTTTTGGCAGTATTACGTTTTTTGGTTTTCTTATTTTAAACAGCAATGCGATACCTATTCGCACATCGTCGTTTGTAGGGAATGTTCCCAGACACGGAGCGGGCAACGCATTCAACCAGGCTCCAGAGTCTTTGTTTAGTGCAGCCAGCAAGACAGCCCTGTTACGTTTGTTTCCTTTTGTACTAGACATAAGAATGGCAATGTTCCGCTCAATCATTGGTGCATCCCATGCGTACTGAAACTTCCGAGTGATATCTCCTGGGATCTCAAAGTGCATACGCTGTAGCCGTTTATTCGGTTGGGTTCTCTATTAAAAAATATGAGCACTCCAGTTGAGTTATTGTTTTGAACACAACGATTGGCCAAGCAGTATTCCTTTAGTATAAAGCAATTTGGTGGTTATGTATCAAGTAATGCAGCGAAGTACTTTGCAGTATATCAGTATTACTGACATGAGAAGTACTTTCTTTATCTAAATTAAACAACTACTTGTATTCATTTGACAGATTTGCACAGGTAACATGTTGGTAACGAGCTCGTTACAACGGTTACTGAGTGTTACGTCCCGGCACACTCCAAAAAACTCGGACATACAACAGTTTCCAAATTCAATCAAGTTTAGAGACATTGCTAAACAAAAACTGAAAAGCGGTTGAAAAGCGTCCCATGCGTATAACCAAATTTCATGAGCATCATTGTTATAACGGTACCGAGCAGTACGTCTCGGTACTACCCAGGCAAACCAAACATTGTCCAATTTTACAGTTTTTATTCGTTTTGAAAACTCCGCTATTGAAAAAAGTGCAAAACCGTTGAATACCATCTCCTGCGTATATTGGAGTCTCATGAGCATTATTGTTATAACGGTACCGAGTCGTACGTCCCAGTGCTGCCCAAGTAAACCAAGCTACATCCAATTTCACAGTTTTTATTTGTTTTGGAAGCCTCGCTGTTCCAAAAAGTACAAAACGGTTGAAAACCATCCCATGCGTATATTCACGTTTTTGGAAAAAAACGAAGTACCGGCCGCTTTAATGACGGAAACTTTTGGGGTGGGTCAGAGTGGGCGTGGCGGACACTAGTATCTTACACCCTACCCCTATTTCTAACTATATAAGTATTACAGACATAACAGACATAATAACGCCCACCGACCAATCCGGATCGTTGGGAGGCGGGGTTTAAGTGAAAATGGCCGCGTGGCACAAAAATTATGTGTCCTATGGACGGTTTTGATCAGTTTTTCTTCCTGAGTCCGAAAAAGTAAAAGATTTTAATATCTGACCCCGTGACCTTTGGTAACGGTAGCGTTACCATTGTAATATATATGGTTACCATATGTAACCAAGTCCAAAGCACCCCTATTTGACTTGCAGTACAGTCTGCTGTGATTGCGAAGCCGTTATCCTAGTTTGCGACGCCGCTTGCAATAGTTTGCTCTGTGAACATTGTTGGTTAGTGGTTACCACCATGGTAACAGTGTCCGTTACCACTGTAGTAACGGTACCCGTTACTACAGTGATAGCGGTACCCGCTATCACTGTAGTACCGATTTGCGTTATTACATTAGTAGCGGTACCCGCTACTAATGTATTTACTATAACGGGTACCAAAATGATAGAAGTATCAGATACCACCGTTGTAACGGTACCTGTTATTGCAGTGGTTACTATGACATATAGCCGGTTACCGTGTAATTCACTTGTAATGGCAACGAATTTTACCTCGTTTGAATTGCCACGTCTTTTTGAGCAGAAATAGTATAAAGTACTTGTTGGTCACTTCTAGTGGTTACGTGTTACCTACGTAACTTGGTTAGTGGGCGTGGCCTAAAGGGTTTTGGTAATTTTGGATTTGAACGCCGTTTTGAATGGACAGGATGTATTAGTTTTTCTTCCTGAGTCAGAAATGGTAAAAGGTCACCTGGGTGACCTTTCCGTACTGTGGTTTCATTGGTCACGTGACCATTTATAGTGTATAACTCTGTTCGGTGACCTTTTGGAAAAAAGTATTTGCCGACTACCCAAAATGATTTGACGCGAGAAAAAAAGATCAGCAGGTGGCTTTTCGGTTTGACAGTCGGTTCAGCCGGTTCATCGAAATCTCGAAATCGGGTGAACGCAATGAATCTTTAGATTTGCAAATGTAAGGTCACATTTAGTACCGGCCGCTTTAATGACGGAAACTTTTGGGGTGGGTCAGAGTGGGCGTGGCGGACACTAGTATCTTACACCCTACCCCTATTTCTAACTATATAAGTATTACAGACATAACTAGACAGCGAAAGCCAATAATACCGGTTTCCCCGTATATTTTTCCTATTGCTGTTTATTTGAATGCAGCCATAAAACATGAGTCACTACGGCAAGGGGAATGTCGCAGCCGGAAGTTGTACATTATGTGCTTCTTCTTGGTGCATGCCATGAACGAGCGGTACTCGTTGGCTACTCAGTGCATCAGTAAAACATTCTGATAAATCGTCGGTTTCTGCCGTTTTCTCTGCTCTGACATACACGAGCTTCGAATGAACACTGGCTGAGTTTGCCGCAGCACGGCGGGGAAACTTAAACCGGCGCATTGCCATCGATACGGCTATTGTACATCCGTCAGCCGGGCTATATAAAGGAACCGCGGTGTATCGCAAATCTTCTGGGATCAAAGAGAACTTTTTGAGGCTTTCATAGCTCCAAAAAATGCTTATAATTTATAAAAATACTATTATTCCCTATTCCTGTCCCTTACTTCCTCAGACATGACATGACCGCCAGCTGACCAAAATTTTTATACGATAGCCATTTTGGTTACAGCATAAAACCAGGTTTCAATCTTCGTTTAGCACATGTTCATCGCCTCACTGCGTATATTTTCTATGAACTTGTTTGGTTAGGCTTTAAGCTATAATAATATACGACGAAAAAGAAAATAGTGTGCCTAATTCTGAGGCGGCAGTACAGTAGCATAGCTATTCAAACATTTCCTCGTCATCAAAGGATACTTCGTGCGGCTGTCATGTGTCTCTGACATTTATTTGTGTTCTGTACGTCGATTAAACGGAAACCATTGCTACATTCAAACATCAGTTTTACCAGTTCTATGAAGTATCCCGAAGAATCTTCGTTTTATTCGTCATTTTTGCTAGTACCACGAAAAACGAGTGAACTACCGTATACCGATGTTTGCCTTACTGTCATGACAGCGTTCCATAACTCAAGTAGCATACCGGAAATTCCTGTTTACCAGACGGCGTGGCACCGGTATTTTATTTAAACACCGCAAACTATACGGCATTACTGGCTCTTATCAAACACATGTTTAGCAGAATCTGCCACGTGTCAAAAGTGCAAAGATTTATGATAATACATCGTACCACCAACGTCCTTATCAGTTAAGCTCAGACAATCGTTATAAAGGCAGATAGAAAACTGCAGTATCAGAATTCAGTCATTCCGACGGTGATTTTGCTTGTGCTTATAATTTTAAAATATATATTTTTGTAATTATCACAATGATGCCTCGCATGCTGATCCTCCTCGCGCTGACCGCTTGCGCAGCAGCCGCTCCCGCAGCCTTGAAGGTGGAACCACCGAGCAAGCTGATCTGCAGTCAGACGGCTCCGCCCATGGTAGCTGCTACGGATCCCTGCCGATTTAAAAAGGATTTAACCGTTGCGAAATTTCCTCCGCTGGATGAGAAACTCCTTTTGGAGGAGGATATCGAAGGGATTATTGAGCCGGGTGATAGCAGTCTGGATGTGATACGCAAACTGATCACGCCACCGCGTAACGGCGTCGCGGCGCAGATGAAACGTTGGCCGGGCGGATATGTGTATTACGAAATCGCTGATAGTACTTTCAGTGAGTGGTTGAAGGAATAAATAAAACATTTTAGAAGGTATTCTTAAACAAACCGGTATTTCATGATAATTGTTGTTGCCGTTTTTATTTTTGAAAAATTGTAAACCATAAAATAAGAGCACTTTTACAGGAGTTCAGCGCCCTGATTTTGTAATTATTTTGGTTTATTAAAAATTATTTTACCTTATGTCAGTATAAGATAATGTAATTGTTAAAAGAAATGATTTTTCTTTAATTTTTGTTAGTGTCAGAAACCGAACGCTACAGTGACAGAATATTTCTTTATCAGCTCCAGCAGAAGTTGCCATGATTCACGAAGCCGCCAGGCAGTTCGAGCAGGCGGATGCGGTACGGCTGCTTAACAGGACCGGACAGGCTGATTATGTCAGGGTCGTACGAGAGAAATCCAGGTACCGACATTTGTTACGCAATTTACCAATTTGTTTGTAAACGACCCTGCTTTTCGTAGTTGCTCTAGCATCGTCGGCCGAGCCGGTGGTGCACAGCGGCTGAACTTGGGCGCCGGATGTATGCGGGTCGGGACAGTTATGCACGAATTCAACCACGCAATCGGTTAGCACACTTACTATACACGTTTATCTTTTGCAGATAAAGCAACAACTGATAAATTTTCATTATTAAAAACATCATAAGGATTCAACAACCATATTAATTTGCTTTTAAATGATTTACAGTAGATGAAACTGGTGATTATTAACGCAGTAAATTTCGTCGGTTTCTTCCAGTAAGATAAAAATTTTGTGCCCTCCATAATTATGATTTAATAATAAGATTAATACATTTAAATGGTTATTACGATGCATTATCAAAAAAGTCAACATTGTTTGCTCAGTGTAATTCTGTAAAAGATATTCAGCGAAGTATTTTGCAAATTCCGAAATCCGTTGGCGGAATTCCGATAATGTTGACGTGAATTCTAGGTTATCGGCAAAATGTGATAAGCTTTGATTTATGTACCCTTTATACCGGTTGCTGATTTGACAGGTTTCTGGCATGAACAATCACGCTTTGACCGCGACCAACACGTCGAAATCAACAAAGACAACATCCTAGAAGGTAGTACACATTTTCTTTGACAATTAATCCACCGATAACGGCGATAAAAGTAGCAAAGGAACTGATACGGCTGTAATACAGTACATTAACTGTTAAGTTTAAATGCCTGGAAAAACTTTGAAATTAAAACAATCATCCTAGATGAAAAACTACTGTTGGCTGTGCAAGTTATGCAGATATTAAGAAATTACGAACATTTTTAGGGACTGCCAGGCCGTTTCAGTGACAATATTGTTGAAGTTATTTTTAATTAATTATCACAGGTGTTTCGTTATTTCCTAAAACAGATATTTATTTTGACATTTTCAATGCTTCAATACAAGGTTTCCAAAACACTTACCCATAGTTGCCCACTGTAGTTTTACCTGTGTTTTGACTACGTAGGGTTTTCGATGTTCTCGTATTTATTGTGCGAATGAGAATGTCAAGCGTTCTCTAAATAATAAATTTAAAAAATCCGCAAAGAATAAAATAAATAAGGGTAAAACAATAACTTAATAACAGCAAATTCTGCAAAACTGTAACTAAATTTTTTAAATAAAATTCAATGAAATTCTCGAGCCCGTTCTGAGTTATTAAGTACCAAAACAATTTCTAAGGAAATACCAATTAGGAAAAAACAAAAAACCTTATCAAATTTACAACTCCAAATCTAAATACACTACCATTTTTTTTATGAAATGAAAATAAAACTAAATTCCATTGATTCTGCAGAAGCCTGGCACAACTTTGTCATTCACGGCTTAAACGAAGCCACGGTCAGCGACACCCCGTACGATCTCAACTCCATCATGCATTACGGCCGCTACGCGTTTGCCAAACAGAAAAACGTCTGGAGCATCCGGCCACTGCCGCCCAACCGCTACGAGGACATTGGACAGCGTGACGGGTTCAGTGAACTCGACATCCAGGAGATGAACGCCCTGTATCCCTTGTGCGCCGTGATGTGGACGCAGCCGCAGTACGAGGGCGAGAGTATCCGGTTCGTCAGGGAATTCCAGACGACGCTGCACAGCAACTGGTGGAATAACCTGTCATCCGCAAACGTCACGGAGGGCTGCACCCTCAGCGTTTATAGCGAGGCGGAGTTCCAGGGGGAGGTGCGGGATTTCACCGGGAAAGTGCCTGATTTGAATGGGTTATTAGTTGAAAATAAGGCGCAGTCAGTGAACTGCCGGTGTACTCAAACAGAACCCGCGCCAGTGCAACCGTCACAATAATGTTCTACGGTATTTGGAGAAATTTCTCGCAACTGTGATAGAAATCTTACATTGGCATTAGGCATTCTACTTCTTCAGTATTCAGAGCGTTATTTCGTATTAAAGAAGCCCACATGTTCTGCAATTCAAGCAAAAGGTAGCAACAGTCCGATGAATTGAAGTAAGCTCTGAAAATCTGAGTTTTACACAACAAATTGTTGTCGGACATACGAATATTTCAATAAAAAGGAGTAACGAGATAAATTATCAAAAATAAAAGTCCAGAAACTCTTCAATTTTCTCCAAAAAAAAAGCGAAACCGAAGAGCTTTACTGTAGCTGCACGCCCTTTGCTCTACTTACAACATCTCAATCCAGACTGACGGCTCGGCTTCTATATCATTGTAAATCAGTATGCATGTACTGAGTACAGCACCCACAAAGGTGGACTTTTTTCCTAAACTGCTTTGACCGTGACATGGATCCTTAAAAGTCCATACTTGCTACCGGCAGCGTCAATGTTTTTGAGGTAACTTATATTTTGTTACTGTAGTGCTGTCATGTTGTACTTAGCAACAGTTGTTTGTGGTAGCTGTATTTCCTGCTGTTTTGTACTCAGTATTAATACTGACTAGCCAGCGTTCTTGTCGTAATAAAATCCCTAATTGTAATACGTGACAGTTACCCACATGAATTCTTGATTCTTGATACCAGTTTGCAGGTTCCCCGCCAGTTTTTATTACTTTCGTGAATACTTGGCATCGGCTGGAAAATTACAGCCGTAGTTTTCCCTTTCTCACATAAACGCCATTTTTTGGAGTGTACTAGTAATTAATTAATTCTGCACCGCAAAGACATACAGATGCGGACAATTATGCATGTCGCGACTCACAACACTATTCATCCAGCTCAATGCAGTATGAACGCCTTCGCCCAGCCACTTCCATGTATATAATGGCATTGCGCTTTTCTCTGGCCACTCTGCACATCCGAATTAGCACTGCAGTCAACAATATTGAGAACTGATACCCCGATAAAATGCAATTACGTCCCTCTCGAGAGCGCACTATTTATAAGCGCGGACAACGGAAAAGTTAAATGGATAGGTTAAGAACTTAAGACTGTACACTATTTATGGCCACACAGGAAAGTCTTTGTCCAGGCTCTGTCTCCTCTCTGTGGAATCTTTCTCTATTTGGTGAAGCTGGCTAACCGTTGATTGCAGGCGACTCAGGTTTCGTTACTACCAAAACGAGCCAATACAATTATATTGTTGTAACGGGAATGCAACGGTCGTACTTTCGAAGAATACCCCGCGTCGTTATTATGCCGTATACTGTTCAAACATCCTCCAAACAGTTAGAGATCGGATTACATAGCTCATCCCCAGCTTGTATAGTTTGAGCAGGCATTGTTAGGAAGGTATTGGTGTCATATTATGTCTGCTAGCGAATATGTGTATTTATTAGCGCAAGTCAGTTTCACTCACACAGAATATGAAGAGAACAGAAATAATTACAGTAAAAATATTTCCTTAAATTTCTCGGCTCCATCCATGGTTCCGAGTACGGAAGCAGCGTTGCCTCTTTGGATTTCAATCGACAAACGCTGACGGAGAAATTCGAGTGAGCGAAGCTCGCCAGTATGCTGCTGTAATCGTTTGCCAATTTCCTTCACTAAAAGTGATGCCGACTTTCCCCAGGGACCAAAAGTCTCGAATGCAAGAGGCGCAAAGATGTATCGGCCCTCCAGATAAGCATACAACTTGGCTTTTTTATCTTCCGCCTGCGCTGCTGCGGATCCGGCGGCAGCCGAAGTAGACTTTATATGGGACAAGGCGACAGTATCCACGCAGGTCACGTCCCATGCCAAGCACATGCCACGTTTTCAGGCAAACGTAGTGCATCCGTCTGGGCGGCGACCGGACGTATGGGACGTACCACGCGGTTCCAGTTTTGCTGGGACGCCCGCTGAAACCAACGATCGGCACACAATGCTGTTAAGTCCACCGTGTCTAGGATGACGTCCAGCGGAAAATGAGCATGACAGTCCGTGGTGGCCATATACATCTACGGGCTTGTGACATTTCGCGCATGGATGTGCTTCGCAAATGACAGCGCCTAACCTGAGCCCAACTGATATCTTCAGGGTGTCGTCGTCCAGGAGGTTGCCGATGTGAGCTGAAGGCAAAGCATTCAACCAAATGCCAGCTTCCGGTTTTGATTGTGCGAGGAGTCTGGCCCTGTTTATTTCATCGTCATGAAAGATCTCAAGCAATGTGGACAGCGATGCATTGCATAACGGTAAATCCCACGTTCGTTGTGAATTCCTGAAAGAGGCCTCCGGGAGTTCCGTCTGCCGGGATTTAGCTTTCCACGACTCCTGTGCGCTTTCAGCGTCCACTGCCGGGTGATGAGGAAGCAGTTGCGGCATTAGTTCGGATACGGAATGAATCGAAGCCAAATAGGCTGGGAGAGATAATTCTTCCGCCCGACGGATGCCGATACCGCCTCTACTCACTGGTAATGACGCTTGCCGCCAACACGGGTAATCGTTTTGGTTTGTTCGCACATTGCATAATATCTGAAAACACTCCCGCATCGCTTCGTCCAACTGATAAAGCTTTTTTGGCTGCTTCCAAGCGTTGCAACATCGCAGCATGTACATTATTTTTGGGGCACCGAGGCAGTTCTTTAAGAGGAATAATGCCTGGTGCCGTGGGAGGAGCTCCAGTCTCGCGCAAGCCATTTTCAACGTGGTAGCCTTCTCGGCGATAGCTGGGCCGATAGCGTCGTCCAGAACGGGAGCGCCTAGCAATGAAAATGTCGCCCTGGTTAAGATTCGCAGACTGGGTACTTTTCTCGAAAACTGTCCACGACTTCCTGCTGAGCTTCCTCTGATCCACCGCAGACGTAAAGCTCGCATTTCGCTTCGTTAACAATCAGACCGATAGCCCGTGCACGTTCGGTGATCTGATCAAACGCATGGGCCACTGCCGCAGGTTTACCGCCCAAGGTACCGTCATCTAAGAACCACGCATTCAGGTCCGCTATCAGATCCGCTATAACTGGTTGTAGCGCTAGACAAAACAATAGCGGTCCCAAAGGATCACCCTGCTGAACCCCGGATTCAGACGACAGCAGGAACTGCTCCAGAAAAAGCCACGAGTGGTTTCCGTAAGCTAACTGGAGAAATTTGCCATATTCAGGGAGGTGCAATTTACCGGCGTTTAACACAGCTTCCCGTGACACGGTATTAAAAGCATTTCTGAAATCAATTTTCAGTATTGCCGTGGGCGTCGCTGTTGAGGACTCCGCAAAAAGTCTGGTGGCGTGCACAATGGCTTCGGCCCCGCCGCGAACGTTGAAGCCGAGGCGCTGAGGCGACAGGACAGCTGTTACACGGTCGGCCACTCTGGAGCAGATAATTTTTGCTATCAGTCTCCGTAGCGTCAGACCAACCGCATGACTCATGACTGTAGATGACTGTAGTGAATATACTTATAACGCATCTGATAGAATAACCTAGCAGTCCTAGCTAAAAAAATACAACCTTTATTGCGATTTTTTCCCTATCCAGGCGTGCATGCCTGACCATTACTTACATCCAGGAAAATCCTATAGTCGCGCAAAAGAACAGGACAGTACATTATTTCTTATGCTCATAATCCAGTTACATAATATACATCTTTCTTTACTTACAGCGTTTAGTCTCCCGGCATTAAAACCCAAAACCTCCGATGCTTAATTAATGTTAGATTTAAGTTTGTTTTGAAAAAATTTTTTTTTCTAAAATTTTCTAAAAGAAATGGAGTAAAAGGGAAAGCATGGAGAGACTAAACTAAAACAAAAATGTCTTGTTCTTTTTGCGACTGTACATATCTTAATTTCTTATATCGCAATAAGGTAAATTGTAACGGAACATCATGTCACAACAACCATCATCGGAGACACGAGACTGAGGACAATAACAGCATCAATGACGATCGTGCTGAGATCGACCGGCAAGCAAGAACGACTAACGTGCATTAACAGTGAACAGGTTGTTCGGGCGTGGTACACTCCACTCTTTATTCGATTTATTTAGGAAAATAACATAAGAACAAGTTAGGGAAATTACTTTTAAGTTATTCAATAGCTGCTTCGTTTGGCACGCTTTCGCAGTTTGCCGGATGGTAGTGGCAATTCTGGCGATGCCGGTCACGGCAGTACGGGCAACCATTCCCCTTGAGCCGATGGCTAGGTGATAGTAGTCGGTCTGCCATCCAGCACTGGTTAGCTGGCCTACCAGAGGAGCATAACGGCAGCGCTTCCTGGACTCCGCGTTGGCAAATCCTTGCACGGTTTCAAAAGGAATGGTTACCTCAGCTAAAATAATACGCTTCTCTCCGCGGTTAACACAGCATAGATCAGGGCACAGAGAGGTAGGAAGCACATCAAGAGGGATAGTGTTATTGTGACTTTCGTAATTCTCAGAATTTAGGTCAGACAAAATTTCCCATTTATTTTTATCAGCCGCACCAGTCAAGAAACGAAAGATAGCTTGAACAATGCTATTATGGCGCCAGGTGTACCGATGGCTGTTCAGCGACACCGAACAACTGTTGAGGATGTGACAGAGAGATCCTTTATCTGCCCCACATAAATCACAGTTAGCCGAAACGATTTTTCCCCATTTAAGCAAATTGGTGAAAGACGGAGAGATATCGAGAGCCGATTCGATCATAAAAGTCACCACATTCTCGGACAGATCGTACAGCACTGATTTCCACGGTGCATCTACAACCTCGGCTTTAAGAATTTCTTGCCACGCTCCCTGCTGTATCAAGCTTTCGATCCGATTTTCTCTCGACGCCGAAACATGTTGCTTTACTTTTCTATTAACAAGCTTTCTAATTGCTGACTTGTTTGCCCCCCCTCGCCTGCCGGTTTCGATAGAAGTTTGCACAATGTCTACAATAGCATCATTATTAGAACATGCCGACATTAAGTTATCACTCGCAATCTGTGCCACAACAGGATCATTAGAACACAGCGCGTCCGTTGCGAAGGCAGCGTGTGATTGCGCATACACTGATTTCAGAGACTTATAATTCATCCCACCCAGTACATACATGAAATCGCAGTTAGCAGATACATT